GATTTCCTACCCCTCCATTTATAGGACGTCTTCCAAGGATGCGCCTATAATCAACGGAACAATTTATCATAGAGTTGACGATAGAAATTCTTCAATACCAACAAACCAGACCATTTACATAGATGTAACAGAATTTAAAGGCAAGAATCTAACATTAAGATTGAAGTCGTACTGCTCTTTGCCCGAGGAATCTCAAATATCAAAAGATATAACTCTTAAACTCGGTAACAGCCCCCCTCAAATACTAGGAATACTTCCCCTTTTTTCATTTACCCCAATGAAATACTCTTTTGATGAAGCCTTGAACTGCTCCCTTCCGATAAATGTATCACTCACAGATAAAAGTTCAGTAAATGACGCAGTAGGGTTTCTGAGATATACTTTTAATGAGGTACAAGTCGACTGCTCTAGAAACCAATTAACAGTTACCCCTTCAGGAAATTTAGATTATAATAAACTACAGGGGAAGACCTTATCACTAAAGGTAAGCTATAGCTTATCAATCCTATACTTCATATATTTATTTTATATTCGTTTCTTAATTCTTGTCATCTGTCAGCTGTGCAACCTGGCCGGTTATACCAGGGCTATACTACCGGAGTGTCTTGAGGCTGTTTTCAAAATTTTCTCGTTCCGAGTGAACTATCTTATTGGAAAATTTTTGCTAAGCAGTGATAAATACTGTGTGGAGTTCAACACACCGGGTTACGGATTTTTTCAGCTGATTGCATTAAATGACGAAATTAAAACTTTTATAAAAGAAAAGGAGTTAAACACACACATAATTTTAAGTAACGCTCCTACTCTTAAGACTCTAAAGGAACAAACATATTGCATGATTCCCTTTCGTCTTTCTTCAGCAGATCCTTTAAAAGATATTTTTAAAATATCTGAAGAGTTAAAACTCTTGCATAATATGAATAATACCCAGTATAAATGGCTCTCTACTGTAAACCCTATTATTCCACTCAAATACGTTAACATCTTAGAGCCTGGAGACTACCAAGATATAAACGTTATTGGAAAGCAGGAAGAGCATGGAGTTATTTTTAATTACAATGAGAGCCCGACTATGTCTGATAATTTTGAGTTAATGAATAACGATGAAGATAATGAAGCCCAACTCTCCATCTCTGAGTTAGTGAGCACTTCTGTCAAGGATTACCCTATTGAAAAAACTAATAAACAACAAATAACTGGGAGAGCTATAAAAAGCATCCGCCCCACAGTGAAACCCACAGCTCCCGTTGAAAAGACAAAACCTTTTAATTATTCATTTTATTTAATAATCGGTCTTGGGGCCTGCCTTATAATATTAATTATATCTTTGTTATTTTATTACTTAAAAAAATTAAAGGCTGTTACGAAATATCAAGCGCTTAGAAAAGATGAGCATAAGAATAAATGAAATTAAAATGTAAGGGGAACAGTCATAATTAAACAGACAACTCTTCTTAAAGCCACTGGCTTCTTTTTATTTGCTTAATTACTTGACAACATTGATTGACTGGTACGTAAGAAATTTTTTAAAAATCGCCTTAAACCTGATATACTATAATATAAGAATTATTAGTTTCTTAATGGTTAAGTTTAGTCTTAGTGCATATTCTATTTTAATTATTTCATTATTTCTAAACTTATGCTAAATATTAATACAAGATTGTACATTTAAATAACAATTTAAAATATGAATATGTACTTGGAGTTCTTATGCAGAAGGAATATACTATATGCGATGGGTTTTATTAAAGGTTTAGGGTAATGCTAATATGAAATTTAAGTTTTTTATTGTTAATCTAAGTATAATCCGTCATTTTGCGGTGGCCCCCTATCAATTTTTGGTGTTATATCCCTTTAATACACGTTTCTTTAAGAGCTTTAGAGAAGCTTGAGTTGAAATTTAAACTTTTTAACGAACTTAGTATTTACTTAATACAATTTTTTTGATTAAGTTATAAAAAGCCTGCAAGATGCTAGCCTAAATACGCAGGGCTAATAGTTGTAAAGCTCTATGTTAACCAAATATTAGAGTTGAAATGTGTAGTTCCGTAAATGAGTAAATGGGTAGATTAACAAGCTTGTCGTATTACCACGCAATATTATACCTTTATTTTCTGAAATAGCAGGTATTAAAAAGGTAGTTTCCTTATTAATTAGCTTCTTACCCTTATTAATATAATTCGGTATAGTAAAAATCAGTGTTTCCCTCATTATGAGGGGTGGGGAATGTCCGCTGTTATATATGCTTTTAGTGTGATATTAAGTTTTTATTAAAAATTAAAATCTTTTTTAGAGAAATTGTCTTTGAGCGATTAGACAGTACGTGTGAAACCCTACCGCCTGCCCAGTGAGGCACTCCAGCATAGTTCCTAGCATTCGGCAAGTTTGATATATGACTTTCACAGATAGCCCATTTTAGACAAGGTGACTAAAGATTTAAGAAAGTTTAGTTAAAAAGATAGCTTTGCTTAAAAGTTCTCGACAAATTGGCGCTGCTATAAACTATAGCTTAAATTATTAAGACATGTGGCAAGAGACTCCTCGAAAAATGAAATTCCGTTATGTTCGGGTAGGTTCAGTGAGCCTTTATAATGTGAAATTTAATAACGTAGATTATATTACAAAACTCTTAAACATTCAAATATATATACGTTCCCTTTAAAAAGGTTGGTGAGTAACATGGCGAGGGACGGCAATTGATTATTTTATTGACTCAAAATAACCGCTTGTATACTATCAATAGTCATTACAACAAAAATTAAACATCGTTTTAGCAATCAGATGAACTAATCTGTTAGCTTAATTGGTTATAGACAAATGGTATTTTCAGCTTCAGAAGCAAAATCCAAAAAAAGAAAATAAATTTATAGTAACTTCAGTCACCTTTAACCATCGATCTCTTAAGGGCGCACAGTCACAACTTCCAGATATATAATAGGGTCACCTAAATTACACTAAAGAACTCTCCTTTAACCCTTTAACTGGCAAACCTCTGGGGCTTAAAAGAGATTTGCTTTTTTCTACGAATTTCATTTCCTATGTCGAAGCTATACTTTAAAGTTCAAAATTTGTTTTCAAAATTTGATTCTATATATCCCAAGTAACCCTCTGACGGGTAAAACTCTGGGGCTTAAGATGGAATTTTTTCTGCGAAATCACTGCATTGAACCTATGTGACAAGTGGTAGTTACACGTTGTAACCAGTAACCTATAAAGGTTTTAAAATTTAAAACTAAGTGAGAGGACTGATAATAAATGACTATTGACACTGGTATTACAGTGAACCAGCAGGCGGATGATCACTACTTCTTCGGTTAAGCTATATTTAAGAAACGCATAAATGTTCTTTTTTTTTATATGCGTATTAAATGCGTATTTGAAAACGAAGCCTTTAGTTCTAAAGAGAACTTAGGGCGGCGTTACTTTCTGTATAAAATAGTTTCTTTTTTCCCCATTTACAAATTCTATATTATTTTGCTATAGTTCTAAGCCTTTTTTCTCTCTTACTTCCTTTTTATAGATTTCTTGTTCTTTATAAGCTTTATAGAAGAACCTTATAATCTCAGGCTCGTACTAAGTTTCACCTTTCAGCAGTCATTGCATTGATTAACCTTCAACTCACTTTATTTCGAGCCCTTATTTGTAATAAAAAATTAATAAAGTCAATATATGTGCGAGGTTGTTTTATTAAGTACAAAATGGTTATATTCCTACTAAAGCGACATAGTAGGATATATTATAACAAATTTATTTAATGTACATATCCATATATAAAATAGTACCCGAAAAACTGAGTTAGTAAATAAAGATATAAATAATTTTTTATCTATAGTTTTAAGCATACCACAAATGGGGCCGCCACTAAATTCTTTGTCTTGCGTTAAAAGATCTGTTTAGGCAGAAAGTAGGGAAATTATAATTGCAGTATGCTCACTCTACTTTTTTCCTTCTCTAAAAGTTAAAGTTTGTTATATGATTTGCTTTAATGGGACTCTAAGTTGTTATAACCAAAGTGAAGATTATAATACTAAAAAAAATAAAAATGCGCAAAACTAACCGAAATGAGTGTTTAAAGACGCAGGAAATTACTATTAATAATACATAAGGCAAACTTAGGGCCAAAGATTAAAGATAAGTAGAAAATATGCAAAGAATGATTATTAGTAAAACTGGATTATATGAACAAACAATAAACTACTCAGACTTAAAGTAAAAAGGTCTAGAACAATAGTACCTTTGTAAAGTTTTATTATCTCTATTTTTATTTTTATATATTTATATTTTATTAATCAATTTTAAACATATATTGTTATTTAAAAGCCCTTTGAAGGTATAGATTCTTCACGACCATAACAACAGCATTGTAGGAGTAGAAGTCTTAACAACTGTCACATAAACAAACTTTTGACTCCATTATTAAAAGAAAACGTTAAACAAGAAAATGTTACACATCTCTTTTTTCTTTTTATAAAAGAAATTTCCTGGGTGCTCCATCGGCTAGTAAAAGAAAACACCGTATTTACGAGCTCTCAACGGGTGTTCTTGAACACATTAGCTTTAAGCCTGTGTTAGAGTAATATATATATATCGGAATAAATATAACTTTAGTATGAAGAAAAATTAGGAAGCCACTGTCCGCACTTTCCATATCGCAAACCCGCGTGTCTCAATAATTGGTAGACACGAGTTTAAAAAAATAAAAATTTGTTTGTCAGACTTTATTAGTGTTTTATAAATTCAATCAAAAGATAATACTGTAATTTTTATTAAAATTAACTCAAAGTTGAAAACTAAGAAAATAGAAGAAGTATAAAACAGTAAAAGAAGAATATAACAAACAAAAATACAGACAAAACAAAGTAAGAGACCTAAAGTGACAAACCTCAAAGAGACCAGCTCGCTTTCCTCTACCAGCAACAAATAGGATTAGCCAAGCCCCTCTGCTATAAGAATACCATATAGAAATTGTGTATTATATGTGGGACATACACGGATGTAAAGAACGGCAGCAAAGATACAAAACATCGACTCTGGATAAGTCGTGTTTTTTATAAGCCAAACTCAGTTAGCAAAAGGATAAAATAGAATAATAGTTAGCCACTTTATAAAATGCCTTTAACCAAACGCTCTGAGGAAAAGGCCATTCAGGCTAAGGCAACAATATATTCTTATTATGAGAGGTTTTTGCTTTATTACTTATTTCTATTTTAAAAGTTTATATTTAATTTATATTATTAAAATTTTTGTTAAAAACTATTTATATATACTACAACGAAAGACTACTTGAGGAAAAAGAGGAAGCCCAGGAACGGTATAGAAAAGTTCTTGAGCAATCAAAAAATATGAACGAAGGATCGGCTACCAAGGTTTTTTAATCTGAGAAACTTATTAATAAAATTTTTAAATTTTTTTATTATAAATACTAATAAGCTCTTGGAGCAATTTTCTGCTCAGGAAAATTACTTTTTACGTTTAAAAAGAACGAGAATGAGCGTGGACGGTGTCCTTTTTTTTTAATACTTGTTATTATGCTTTTAATAATATTAAATTTGTAGATTTTGAAACCTTAAAGGTAATAGGAAGAGGCGCGTTTGGAGAAATTCGACTTGTTCAAAAAATTGATACTGGTTTCCAATCTTTTGCATTGAGATTTACATAATAATTAAAAAAAATATATTTTTTAAGGGCATATATATGCTATGAAAGTCCTTCGAAAATCTGAAATGCTTGAATTGGATCAAGTGAGTATTTACTGTGACTTGTGCTTTGCTCCGTTTATTTTCCTTTTTATCTATAAATAACAATTTATATTTTATTTAGATAAGAAATATATACATTTTTTATCACATTAAAAAATAATTTAATTTAACATCCCAAAAATTGTTTTGTTTTTATAAATTTTCTCTTTTATACTTTCCTTTTTAATAAATATGTAAGAAAACTTTTATCGAATTAATATTATTATGTTAATTATATAGATATATTTCTATAAAAAAAAAAGCTAATATTTATAGATCTTTTTAACGGCGTCAGGTATAATTTTTTTAAATTTCTGAAATTTAATAAATTTTTTTATTTTTTAGGTAACTCACGTTCGTGCAGAGAGAGACATTTTAGCCGAAGCCGACAATCCTTGGATCGTTCAGTTGTACTATTCATTTCAAGGTAACCGTACTTGTAATTTTATAAAATTTTAATAAAAATTTAAAGTTTCTAAGTCTCAATCTTTTTCTTCCAATTTTTTGCTGTTTACATAAATTTAATATTTTTAAAAATTCTTTGAATTTTTTTTAATTATGAAAATTTTCTGAAATTAAATGTGTATGAAGAAAATGAATTTTGATAGTTTTAATTTTTGTTTATTACTTTGAGTTATTTTAAAGTATAATTTTTTATAGTTATATTATTTTTTGTTTTAAAATTCTTATGAAATTAATTTGCTTGTTGTATTCTTTATAATAAATGATAATTACATTTGATTTCTAATTTAATTAAAAAATTTTTTATTTTAATTTTTAATTCACTTTAATTTTTTAATTTATAAATAAATTATTTTCTAAAATTTTTGTATGACATTTTACTTCTTTTTTGCTATATATCATTTTTATTAAATCCATAGTTTTTTTATAGTATATAAACTTTCGTTATACTTTTACATTTTCTTTTTTATATTTGTTATCAATATTATTTGTCTAAAATTCTTTAAAAATTTAAAGTGACATATTAATCTTTTTTTATTTTTTTAATTTAATTTGTGTATTAAATTTCCTTAATTCTAAATTAAAAAACACAATTTTTTAAAGTCTGTAATTTCCAATTTTAAACTTTTGTTTAATTATTATTTATATTTTCATACCAATTGAAATTTATAAAAAGTTGGATTTCCTTAAAATTTACTTTTGTAACATTTCTTTTGGTTTTCTAATTTTTAAATTAAATTTATAACATTATTTTTATATAAATAAAAAATTTTTATAGCTCTTCTTATTTGTTGCTATTGAAAGTATTTTTTCTATTTTTTAAATTAATTTTTTAATATTTTTAATAAAAGTTACTTTTCTAAAATTTTTAATTTTCTTTTACTTGAAATATTAACAAAAAATTGTTTTCAAAAGCACACCTTTATGCATCTTAATACCTATTTATTTATTTTTTTTTATAAAACTAAAGTATATAATAATAAATTTTTTTAAAACAAAATTAATTAAATTTAAAAGTAAAATATCTATTAACTATTTTTCTACGAGTAAATAAAGAAAAGAATTACGAATTTTGCTTTATAAATTTGGGGAAAAGCTATTTTTTTTTTTATACCATTTGCTTTGCATTATTCATAAATTAAGTTAACAATTCTTTTTTTTAAATTTTTTTATTAAATTGTATAATTTCTAATTTTATTTTTAAAAATTCAATAAATTTTTTTTAATTTTCTTTATTTTTTTAATTCGGTATTGTAAACATATCGTAAAATAATTTTAATACTACTAAAAAAATTATTTATTTTTAATTTTTTTATTTTCTTCTAGTAACTATTAAATAAAATACATTAATAAATTTTAATTTAAATATTTTTAGTTGCTTTTCTAAAAAATATAATAAAAAATTAATTTTTTTTGACAAAATAAAAAAAATATTTTATTCACGTTAAAAAAAAACTCATTAATTATTTTTTATCTGCTTTTTTATAAATATGAAATAATATTTCTTTATTTTTAATTTTATTATTTCTAGTAGCTTCTTTACATTATTTTAAAATTATTACTAATATTCTACAAATTTTTATAAAAATTTTATTAACTTGTAATATTATTTACTTTAAATAAGTATTAATTAAAAATTTTTTAATTTATTTATTCAATTTAGTATCTTTTTTTACAAATTTAGTATTTAATACAAAAATTATTGTTTAAAAAAAAATTCATAATTTTATAATTTTTATTTACTTTAAATAAAATTTAAATAAAATACTTTTATGATTTATAACTGTGTTAGTAATAGCTTCTTTAAAAGAATAAAAGAAACATAACCAAAAATTTAATTATTAATACGAAATAAGTAAAAAAAAATTAATTTTCGTATTAACATTCTATAAATTTTAAATAAATAATTATAAGTTATAATTTTATTATATTTAATATTATATTTAATATTAAAAAATTGTAACCGAAAATTTATTTTTTAATAATAAATAAATAAACTTTTTTTGTGTTTACTTTTAACAAATATTAAATAAAATACTTTTATATAATTTATTATTTCATTATTTTTAGAAGCTTCTTTACAATATTTTAAATTTATTACTAAAAAACTTATCAAATAATTTTAAAATATTAATAATTTCTAATATTTTTTATATAATTATAATACTAATTAAATATTACTTATAAGTTATAATTAAATCATTTTTAGAAAATTTTAACTAAAAGTTCATTATTTGTTTAAAAAAATAATTTATTTTTATTTATAAAAATAATAAATATTTTATTAAATGCTTTTTAATATTAATAATATATAACATTTTCTATTTAATATATAAAGAAAAATTATTTTCTATATTTTTATTATTTTTAAAGCTATTTTCAATTTTTTAAGATTATCACTAAAATATATAAGTATTATATTAATAAAAAAATAATAATTTCTTTAACAGCTTTAGATAATTTTGATTAATAGATTTATATGCTTTTATAAAAGTTAAATTAAAAAATTAATTTTTATAAACTTTCGTAAGACAAATTTTAATTTTTAAGAAATTAGTGGTTTATATTTTTTATTCTAGTAAAGTTTTTAATAAATTTTTATTTCTAAAAAAAAATATTATAATTTCTCTTTTTATTAAATTATAGTTTATAAATTTTTAATATCATTTTTCATAAATTTTTTTAATAACTTTTATTTTTAAAATTCTTACTGGTTTTAAAAAATTAAATATTTAATGTTTTTTATTTGTTATCATAAACTTCAATAAAACTTTTCTATAACTTTTTAAGAAATTTTAAAATTTTAAAGAATTAATAATTTATAATTTTTTTAAATTTTTATAAACTTCAAAATAAAATACTTCTAATAACTTTTTTTATTTTTTTAAAAAAAATTGTTGCTTTAAAAAATAATAATTTAACTTTTTCAAATAAAAATTTCCAATAAATTTTTAACAATTAAGAAATTATTTTAGTTTCTTTTGTATAAATTATTAAATTATAATTTTTTATTTAATTTTTATAAATATCAAAATAAAAAACTTTTAGTTTTTTAAATTATCAATTATCTTTTATTTACTTATTAAAAAATCTTTATACTTTTTTTTATTTTTTTTAAAATTATAAATTTTCTAATTATTTTGACTTTAAAAATATACTAAAATACTTTTTAATAACTTGTTAAAACTTGTTTTTATAAAAAATATTTTAATTATATATTTTTTATAAATATTTAATAATAATTCTTTTAATTACTTTTTGTGTTCAAAAATTCTACTAGCTTTACTTTTTTATATACTTTTTATAACTATTAAAAAAAATTTATTATTAATATCTCTTTTATATGCAATAATAACAATAAAATATTTTTCATTACTTTATTATTATATAATACTAAGAATATGTTACAACTATCATTAAAAATATATTTAACTGCTTTATAACAAAATTAATAATTTTAAAATTTTATATACTTATTAATATTTAAAGAAACATTTTTTCATCATTTTTTTATTATATAATATCAACAATATATTATCAATATCGTAAGAAATATATTTAACTGCTTTGTAAAATATTACTTTTTAATTTTTTTATTATAAATATTAATAAAATATTTTTAATTACATTATTATTATATAACATCACCATTATATTATCTACAAAGAAAATATATTTAACCGCGTTATAAAAAATTCTTTATTTAGGTTTTTTAAATACTTTTTCAAATATAATGAAAATTATTAATAACTTTTTTTTAATAATTCAATCCTAAATTTATAGAAAATTTACATATTATAATATTTTTTTTAATAATTATTTATTTATTTAGATGAGTATAATTTATATTTAATAATGGAATATCTTCCTGGTGGAGACATGATGACTTTACTAATCCGCTACGACACGTTTAGCGGTTTAGCTCGCATGACTTGGGATCTTGAAAGTTTGCATTATTTTAATATTTTTTAAGAGGAAACCACACGGGCTTTTCTTGCGGAACTTTTTTTGGCTCTTGATTCGATTCACCAACTCGGCTTTATTCATCGGTTCCTTTTTTTTTAATGGAAGTTTTTATTTTTTTTTAAGGGTTATTATTATATTTTAGATTATTTTTAAAAAGTTAAGATTAATATTTTAAAATTACTGTTAAGTACTATTATTAATATTAGTTTTGAAGTTTATATAAGATTTATTTTTAAGAATTTGAAATTTTTCACTTATAATGGAATTTATATCAAATCATTCTTATAATGATTAACTTTTAGAATACTTTTGAAAATTATAATTTATATTAAATTCAGAATTTACTTTTATATAATTTGAAATTATTCTTTTAATGTTGAAAAATTTTGTTTTTTTTCTTTCTGTAAAGAGACGTAAAGCCGGACAATATTCTTTTAGACCAGACGGGTCACGTGAAACTTACTGATTTTGGTCTTTGCACGGGCCTGAAAAAATCTCATCAAGTAAATTTTTTCTTAAACATTATACATAAAATTTATTTTTCTTGTCATTTTGTAAAGAAATAAAATTTTTTATAATTGAATTAATATTTATATAATTTATAGTTATAAATTTTTTTATATAATTTTTTTAAATATTCTATTTGTAGTATAGCTTATCGAAATTATAAAAATTATTTATTTTTTATTATTATTTTAAAGTATTTTACTTAATTATGTTTATATTTTATAACCAAATTCCTATTTAGACTAATAATTTTAAATTTTATTTTTTTTAAAGGTAAATATATTTTTTTTATTTTCGATTAAATTTTTAAAATTATTTTTTTTAAAGATCGTAATTATGAAAAATATATTTTTTATTTTATAAATAAATTAATTTTAAAATTATTTTATACTTTTATTTTGTGAAAATATATTTATTATTTAATTGATAAATAAATTTCTTTTAAATAAAATGTTATAACATTTTATTTATTTTGTAAAAATATATTTTATTATTTTTTTCTTATAAATAAATTTTTTTTAAAATTTTATTAAATTTATAAAAATATATTTTTTATTTATTTAAAAAAAAATTCCTTGAATTAGAATTATTTTGTGAAAATAAAATTAATTATTTATATTATGTTTAAACTTATTTTTGAATAAAAAATTTTTCTTTAAATTTCATTTGTGTAAATAAATTTTTTTTTTATAAAAAATGGTTTTTTTAATACATTCATTAAGTTTGGAACTTGAAAAACTTTCTTTTAAAAAATATTTAATTAACTGTAAAGCATTTTTATTATAAACTAAAATTATGTAGACATTACTATTATATAACCATAAAAATAATATAAATATACAAAAAAAAAAAGAAAAAGTTTGTAAAGAGTATTATAATTTATTTAGAATCTACAATAATTACTATAAAACAATAAAAAAGTAATACATGAAGTAGAAGTGTATAAAAGTAATATTTTGAAATAATTATTTCATTAATAATAATTTATATATATTTTATTAATGTTTTTACTTTTAGATACTTTTTATTAAATTATATCTTTTTGTAATAAAGTTACTTTTTTTTTAATATTGTTTTAATATTATTTATTTTTTTTTTTATATTTTTTAATAAGTTTTACATTATATATTTAATTTATTAGTTAAAAGTAATTTTTTTATAGTTATATTTATTATATATTTTTTTTTATAAAATAATTTATTTTCCATAATAATTTTTATAATAATTTGATTATTTTACAATTAAATAAATGTAATAAAATAATTTTTTTAAGTCTTTAAAATATTTTTAAGTATATTTTTTTAAAAACTATTATTTTTTAATTAAATTTTTTAAAAAAAATTTACGTTTATAAATATTAATTATATTTACTAAATTTTACACTTTAATAAAAATAAAAATAATTTTTTTTAAGATTAATAATATTCTAAAGTATATATTTTTTAATAATCATTTATTTTATATAATAAAACTTTTTTTTTAATAAAACTTTTTTTTTAAAATAACTTTTGTTTTCAATTATTCTTGACAATTTTTTTTTACATTAATTTTTTCAAATGTACGTATTTTTAATAATTATATATTTTTATCATGAAACTTACGAAAAATAAATTATATTTTTTAAATTTTAATAATTTTTTATAATTTTTAAATATTGTAAAAGTAATTTACTCTATTAAATTTACTTTAATTTTTAATGATTTTGTTATAATATATAATATTATGTCGTTAATAATTTTTATTTAACAACAATTTGTTTTTATTACTAATTTTATATTTTAATATTTTATTTATTTTATTAGTTTATTATAAAAAATAATTGTTTTAATAGTTTGTGACATTTATTTTTTTAATATTAATTAATATAGTTAAAATTTATTATTAATCAATTATTATTAAGTATTTTAATTATTTATTTAAAATATCTTTTAATATATTTCGTTCTAATATTTTATTCACTTTATAACTAATTTACTATTTAACAATATTTCGTTTTAATTAATAATTTTTACAAAGTATATTTTTTTAATATTTTATTTATTATATAATAAATTTATTACTAATAAACAATTCAGTTTAATATTTTTAATTAATTATAAAATATATTTTTATAATATTTTATTTATTTTTATAATTAATTTATTATTCAACAATATTGTGTTTTTACATTTAATTATTTTGCCATAAAATATTTTTCAACTATTTAGTTGATTGTTTCAAATTCCTTTATTTTAAATTATTTAAAGCATAATTTTTAATAATGAAATTATTCAATTGATTATTTTTATAATAATTTTTTTAATATAAAATTTTACTAAAATATTCAGTTGATCACTTTTTTTTAAATTTTTTATTTATATAATTTTAACAAATATTCAGTTCTTTATTTTTTTATTTATTTTTTTTAATAATAAAATTTATTTATTAAAAAATAATTATATACAACCAAAAACATGATTCATTAATTGTATATCAAAAGAAAATTCTGTAAATAAAATTAATTTTTAAATAAATATTTTTTTATTCTTTTCATTAATATTTATATTATTTTATTAGTTTTTAATCGATAATTCATTTTATGTTTCTTTTTATATTTCTTATTTTAATATATTTAATAAAATTGTTATTTTTTATTTACTTTAACTTTTTTTATAGTTAATTAAAGCTCTACAAATCTTATTTTTTTTTGCTCAAAATTTATTTCTTTTGTTTATTAACTTTTTATTAATATTATAATAATTATTTTTATTTCAAAAATATTTTTATTTGTTTGAAAAATTTCTAAAAGTAAATTTCTAAATAATCTAATTAAAAAAATTTATAGACTACTTCCTAATATTATATTTATATTAATTCTTAAGAATTTACAAACTTTATATTTTTTTATTATTATTTTATAATTATTATTTTTTCAATTCAAGATTTTAACTGTTTTTTTTATAATTATATTTTAATATATTTATATTATTTATTAATATCTTTTAAAAAAAATTATTAATATTTTTTTATAAAAATTTTTTAAACTTTTATAACTCATTTTTTTTAAAATAGTGGAAGTTTTATAAAAACTTGTCTTCTGGCGTATTTAAAGAAGAAGAGAGACATTTAAACCAAGATTTACTCGTTAGTAATTATTTTTTTAAAAGTTATTAAAAAAATCATATTAAATAGTTTTAAATTTTAAAATTAATTTTATAAATTAAATAATAAATTGGAAAGAATTCTTTAAAATTTTAATGCTAAATTTTGTATTGAATAAAATAATAAATAATCTTTTTAAAAAATTAAGTTATTCTAAATTAATTAGTATTATATTATTAAAAATATATCAACTACTTTTAGATTGCAGAAAACAAATAATTTAAAAAATTTAAATAATAAATGAAACTTTTGAAAATAATAAAAAAATAATAACAAAACATTTTATAAATAAAAATTTTAAGTTAATAAAAAATTAAATAAACTTTAATTATAAATCTAATTAAAAAATAATATTAATAATTATTTATAAATGAAAAAAATAATTTTTTTTAGAAAAATAATAATAATTAAAGGAATTAGTAACTTTAAATTTGTATCTGAATTATATATTAAAAAAAAAAGAAATAATAATAATTTACTTTTTAAAACTAAAATTTTATTTTGAAAAAAGTAATAATAATAATTCTTCTATTTAAAATTAAATTTTATTTGATAAAAAAATAAATAAAAAAACTTAAATTTTTAATAATTAAAAAAAAATAATATTATTAAACATTTATGATAAAAAAATAATTTTTCTTAAAAAATAAGTAATAATAATTATATAAATTAAATACTAAATCTCATTAAAAAATTAAATAATTATAATAATAATTTTAAAGTTTAAAACTAATTCTTATTTAAAAAAATTAATAATTTATTAAAAATTAAAAAAACTAAATTTATAAATGAAAATGAAACAAATAAATGTACTGATATAAAAATGAAATAAAAATAAATAATTATAATAACTAATGATAATTATTACTTTACTTAAGAAGTAAGAACTTAATCTTAAGTTATAATAATAATAATAATAATAATAATAATAATAATAATAATAATAATAATAATTAAACTAATGAATGACTATATTCTTGATTGAAAAAAAATAAATACAATAATTATAATATAATTTGAAAAGTTAAGAACTTAATTCAAATTATAATGTTAATAGGTAAATAAAGAAAAATAAATTTTACGATAAAATAAAAATAATAGTATTAATAATATAACAGATTTTTTTATAAAAATAAGTTTTTATATTAAAATTTTTTTTAAAACTGAATGCATAAATAAATATAAAATTAATAATTATGAAAATTTAAAAAAATAAAAAACTAATTTTTTTAAAAAAAAGTTACTAATTATAATTCAAAATATAGTAAACGAAATTTTATTTCTAATAAAGTAAATTTTTATAATTAAAAAAATTGAAACTCGATTTTAGATGAAAGTAAACTAATGGTAATTTTACTTTACTATATTGAAAACAAAATTTTTATTTAAAATTTAATAATTAAAATAATTTGAAAACTCAATTTTTAGTTAAATATAAATTAAATAATTGTAAAATATTTTAAAAACTAAGAAACTTTTTTTTATATTAAAAGAAAACTTTAATTATTATAAAAATAGAAACTAAATTTTATTACAAAAACTAAATAAATAATAATATTTTAAATATTCAAAAACTAAATTTATTATCAAAAATAAATTGAAATAATATTTATAATTAAATTTTTATTTATAAATAATTATAATAATAACTCAAAAACAGGAAAAACTAACTTGAAATAAAAAAGTGATAATCATTTTAAAATAGTGAATAACTAAATTTGAAGTTAATAAGAATTAAGTAATTAAAAAAATTTAAAAGCTATATTACCCGAAGAAGATGAAAGTAAAATAAATAAAAGCAATAATGTTAATTTGAAAATAGTTATTAAAAATAATCTAGAAATCTAAACAATTAAACAATTTAAACAAATAAATCAATAAATAATAATTAAAAATATTAAAAAACTTTTTTGAAATGAAAAGTAATTAAATAATATCAGTATTAATTTTAATTAGTAAATAAGTTTTATAATGATATTTAAACAAATAAAATTATAAATTTAATTATAAGAGTAAACTTATTTTATTATATTAAATTCAACGTTTTTATATTTTTTAAATGTATATATTATTTTTGTTAGATTAATTAAAACTTTTGGATTATTTATTTATACTTCCTTTGTTAAAAAATTAAATAATTCAATATTAATTATACATTTATAGATATTATATATGTTTTTTTCTAATAGCAATAATAATATAATAAAAAATATAAATTTTGGAAAATAGATAATAATAAATGTAGACATAGAAACGTTTAAATTTTAAAAAAAGTAAATCAACTAATATTAAAATTAAATAATAATAATAGAATAAAAAATACGATTTTTAAATCAAATCGAAAAGTAAATTAGTATTAAAATAAAATTTGAAAACAATTTTATAATAATGAATTTTAATTAAAATTTGAAATAGAAATTAAAAAGTTAATTTAATAATAATAATTAAAATCATTTTATTATATTGTCTAATGAAAAAAAATATAATTTTAGCATTATTTTAAAATATAAAAATTAATTTATAACTTGAAAAAAAATTGAATAATTAAAAAAAAAATTTATTTTATATAAAAATCTGAATTATAATTATTAAACTTAAAGAAATAATAGATAAATATAATTTATCATAAGATAATTATATTAGTAGTAGTATTTTAAAAATTTAAAAACTTAATTATATAATTTAAATAAAAGTTAATAAATAAAACAAAAACATTAAATTTATTATAAATTGCATTTAAAAAACTAAATTTCATGTATTTTATATGAAATGAATAATAATAAAATAAAAAATACTAAAAAAATAAAAATGATAACAAAATTATTAAAAAACTTTCCTATCAATGTTCCAAGATAAATATAAAAAAATAATAAATTAATATTTTTTTAATATAAATAAAATATAAAAAGATTATAAAATACCCCTAATTTTAAAATTAATAAATGTCAAATTTAAATAAAATCAATAATAAAGTTAGTATAAATATGAATAATATTTTAAAAGTAAGAAATAATAAATTATTAACTTATTTTTTAATTATGAATGAAAATTAAAAAAAATTTTAAAATGGTAATAATATTAAAATTAATTACTTCTTTCAAATTGAGAAATAAATAATAATACCATTTTGAAACAGCAATAATATTTATCAAGTTTTCTTACTAAATTTTAATATAACTAAAAGAAATTAGATAAATTTTATATTATTAAACTAGAATAGTAATAATTATTTATAAAATTAAAAAACCAAGTACTAAATTTGCTTAAAAAAGTTCATAATAAAAATTAAAAACTAAATTTCAAATAAAAAATAATAGCTCTAATTAAGGGAATTTATATTAATATAAGTAATAATTTAAAAAAATTAAATTTAAATATAAATAGAAAATATATAATTCTAAAATTTATTATAATAGTAATAATTGTTTATATGATTAAAAATTAAATATTTATTAAAATAATAAATAATATAACATTATAAAAAAAAATTAAAAGCAAAAACTGTAAATTAAAATAAATAAAAAGTATTTTTTTTAGTATAAAAAACTTTAATGGTAATATAACAATTATATAATAAATGAAAACTAAATTTTTAATTTAAATAAGAAAAATGGACAGTATTAATATAGAAACCTTAAATAGTTGTAATAACAAAAAAATTTTAAAACACTTCAAAATAAAAAAAAAAGATAATATTAATTTGAAAATTTAAAACAAAGTTTTATATGTTAAAATAAAAAAAGAATCCATTTTTAAAAAGAAAATTTAAATAATAAATTATAAATAAAATAAAGTAAATGATATTAAATATAAAATTTATATATAGAAAACAAATAATTGTAATAATAATTTAATAAGTTAAAAATTAAATTTCAAATTTACTAAGGAAATATAGACAATATTATTATAGAATATTGTAATAAAAGTAATATAATTTTAAACACCTAAAAACTAAGTTTTAAAATAAAAATAAATAAATAAAAAAAGATACTATTGATTAAAAAAATTAAAAACAAATTTCAAAATTTATTAATAAACGATTTTATTTTATTATGAAAAATTAAATAATAGTGATAATTATTTAGTAAATAAACAAACTAATTTTCCTATTTATTTGTAGAAACTTAAATAATCAAATTACATATTAAAAAAAAATTTACTATTTAATAAAAAAACGATTTTTTTATTATAAACAACTTAAATAATAGTAATAATTCTTAAAAAAGTAAAAACATAATTTCAAATCTAAATAAGTTTAGAAATTCTAAAACCAAATTATAATTTTAAATAAAAATGTTATTATTTTAATTTAAAAAAAAAAAGGAAATTGCTGCGAAAACCCAAGACGAGGCCTCCCTTAAAGCGCTCACATGGAAAAAAAATAGACGTGCAACCGTAATTCAACTAGACATTTATAGAAATTCATTTATACTTATGTTATGGTTTTTTTTAATTTTTACAAGTTATTTTTGAATTTTAGAATTTTAGTTAGAAATTTTTAGAAATAAATTTGTACTACTTTAATTAACATTTTAAGAATATTTTCCAAATTTGAATTTAATTATAGGAAAATCTATATCTAAAATAATATTATATAAGTTTTTTTTAAAACTTAGATAAAAATTATTAACCAAAATTTCTACAAAGTTAATTCGAATTTATATTAAATAATTTATTATTTACATTTATAAATTATTAGTTTTTAAAGTATAAAAATTTATGTTAAGATATTTATATTCGAAATATTATTTCATTCTGGATATAAATTAGAAATTGAAAATTTGTACTTGAAAATTTAATTTTGGACTAAAAAATTTTGTATTTTACAAGTTTATATTAAAATTTTTAACAAATTTAGTTTTGAATTAATTAATTTTTGTTTAAAATTTTTTTATTTTTATTATTATTATCAAGCTTTATTGTAATTGGCTGATCTTTTTCAGGCTTATTCCTTAGTGGGCACGCCCGATTATATAGCACCAGAAGTTTTTCTTCCAGAAGGTATGGCATGCTTAATACACGTGTTTATGTAATACACGCGACTTTTGCTTGCACCTCATTGGCCCAGGTTATACAAAGCTCTGCGATTATTGGTCGGCTGGAACGATCATGTACGAAATGTTGATTGGGTACCCGCCGTTTTGTGCGGACAGTCCACAGGCATGATTATTGGCGAGAAAACACCCCTTTTTTTATTATTATTATTTTTAGGAGACGTACCATAAAATAATGAACTGGGAAACCACGTTGAAGTTTCCAGCGAGTGTCCCAATTTCTAAGGAAGCCCAGGATCTTATTCAAAAGTAAAAAATAGTTATAATAAAGTGTTTGAATGTTTATTATTTTATTAAAATAAATAAATAAAAAAGTTAATAAAAACGAAGAAAATAAAAATATTTAAATGTTAGTAATATTTATGTTTAAAGTAAATAATAAAATAATAATAACTCTAAAAGTTTTTAAGTGAGCTCATAAAAAATAGAATAAACATATTTTTTTCTAAAAATTAGTATTTGTTACAATTATTTCTCTTAATAATAAAAAGTTGTTTGCTTATTTTATAGTATAAAATAATAATAAAAGTATAATAAAAAATTTTTGTTAATATATAAAAAATTATAATTAAAGAATAAGAAAATAATATAAACTTTTTCTTAAAAATAATAAAAAAGTGGGGATGTAATTTTTTACGATTCTTAAAATGAAAATAATAATTATAAAAAATAAATATTTTTAAAATTATAAGTAAAAATAAAAAATTTCTAACTATTTTTTCTATATACAAAAATAATAAAGATAAATTATAAATTATTATTCTGATAATAATGTTTCATGGTATAAAAAATTTATAAATAATATAACTTTTATAAAATTTTTAATCAATGGTGATAATTATAATTAAAATGGTAAACGCTAAAAGAATTCATTATTTTATTAGAAATATTTGGGAATAAGATTTCTATTATTTATAATTGGCTTATTTTTACTAAATATAAAATAAATTCTATTAATAAAATTTTGATATAATTAATTAATTATTTTTAACTATTATAATAAAAATAAAAATTGTTGCCTTTATAGTTTATAAATTTAGTAATGTTTAAATTATTATTATTATTATTAAAGACTTTGCTGCGATGTAAAGCACCGACTTGGTAAAGATCGAGGCTTTGAAGATATTAAAAACCATCCGTTTTTTAAAAATGTGAATTGGGATTCTGTAAGGTTCGTTATTTTTTCTGCGCGTGTACCCCCCAGCCAATAGGTGTCTGTGTTCCCGCTTTTTTTTAGGGATGAAAAATCTTTATTTAATGTGAACGTGAAGTCCATCGACGATACTTCAAACTTCGACGAATTTCCTGATGGCGATCCGAATTTGAGTTCGATTCGATGCATTTTTTTATATAAATTTCTCTCGTTAATTCATTTTAATAAATATGATTATTTTTTTATTTAAATTATTATTATTATTGTTATTATTATTATTCGAATTCAATTTTGCTTTAAAAAAATTTTAAATATACTTTTTTCTTTTATTGTTTATTTTAATTATTAATTGTAATAATTTTTACTATTTTTTATTATTCTATTATAAATTTGGATTAAAGTTAACTTAAATTTTTTTTTTTTTTAGAAATTTCTCGCTTTATTGTTAATTTTATAATTACCTGTATTTAAATTATTCAAATTATGATTACTTTATTATAATTTATATTCTAATGAATTTCAATTAAAACCCTTAAACTTTTTTTATAGATTTCTTTTTTTTATATATATATATAATTAAGAATAGTTACTTATTATTATATAAATTTATGCAAATTTTAATTCAAATATAAGTCAGTTTTAAATTTATATGTTATAAATTTCTCCTTTTAATTTTTTTTTTCATGTAATTAATTTTATATTTATTTCTTAATTTTTTTATAATTTTATTTGGATACTTAAAAAGATTTTCAATAAATTTTTTTCATTTTTTATATATTGCTACCATTTTATTAAGCAAATTTCTATTTTAATTAGAAATTATTATTAATTTTCGTTTTTTTGTAGAGAATCCAGTGCCTGCAAAATCTTTGGGAACTGTTAAAGATTTGGCTTTTCTTAATTATACTTATAAAAGATTTGATGCGCTGACTACGAGGGGCCACTTTAAATTTTGAAGAAAATTTCTTCAGTCTTTTTACTTATAAAACCAACCGAAAACTTAACTAAATATAACGTGGCTTACACTTTTCGAAAAAATATTATTATTTTATAATTTATACAATTAGAATTTAAATTTTATTATAAATAAACAAAAAAGTCTTAATTTCTAAAAAATGTATTGAATGAAAAATTTTAATTATTATAAATTTTAGAAGTTTACGTGCTATAAAGCTGTTACTAAAATTTATCAACATGATTGGTTTCTACCTTTTTAAAAATAAAAAAAAAGTAATGAGGATGTTAATATTGAAAAAAAATTTTAAACAATTTGCAATAAAAATCGTTAAAAAGCATGGCTTTTACTTTAGTAAACTTATTTATTCCCAGAACTTAAAAAAAACAGGAAATTGTAGAAAGTGTTGATTTTATATAAATATTCTTAAATAATCAACATTAATTTGGGTATAATTGCCTTATCGAAGACTTAACTAAAAGAAAGCTTGCTTAAAACTTTAAATTAACAACGTGGATTATACTTAATTTATATATGAAAATCGGTTTCAAACTAACAGAATGGAGCTTATAGTGAAAAAGTATATCTTATTGGTTTTACAAAGAAATCACTAACAATATATTAAAAACGTTTTTAAAATTGGCTAAACACCCGAAAAATGATTCATGTAAAAAAGTAATGCTTAATAAATTTTAGAATTCTCAACAGAAATTATCTTAATAACATTGTATGGCGGATTTCATCTCGATTTTAGTGAAAAAGCGCAACGTCAATTTATAATGAATAGTAAGCAAACAAGTACACCAAAAAACGCAATTATAGTCTAAAGCACATAAAAGAATATGATAAAAAAGTCAAATTTTAAATATTAATTAAATCTAAAAGTGGATAACGCGTAGTATACAGGTAAAAATAATTACAATAAAAATTACCAATCTTTTTATACCCTCAATTTTCGTAATATAATTTTTTACACCTTTCTTACTCACTTTCCGTTCTGCCGCCACAGCTTAACAGTATAAATAGAGAATTTTTAAAAAGTGCGTAGAAACAGAACTGCAGTTGGCGTAGGGAGACAAGATACTTTGATAACGATTGAAGCGACATGCAAAGGCGGATTGGCGCGTAAAGTTAACAAGATTTACAAAATATAGAATGCAAACCTTGCTTACAAATATTAACTGTCTAATGCCTCTTAGCTTAAAAATGTAACTATTCCAATAACAAAAAACTATAGAGTATTTGAGGCTCCACGCTTTTCCGAAGCAAAGAACTCTCGGGCGCAGTGCAAGACAATAAAGACATGGATCCTATCTTTAATTTTATACTTATCATTTAAGAGGCGCTACAGTTTATACGCAAGGACTACGAGCCAATCAAAATTAACATTGTTAAAGAAATTTTTTGATTGGAGGCACGTCGTGCGTATGAGGCGACCAGCAAAGGTGAAATTCTAAGCCTATTCTAGCCATTCTTAATAATTCAATTTTACACTCCAATAATAGAAGGCGAACAAAGATATCTCTTAGTAGAGAAACAAGTTAAATGATGATAATATTATTTTTAAAAACCGGAGTCTTTAGGACAATGCTTGTCAGTAAATTCACTAATGAGTGATAGGTTTTAAACCTACCAAAAATTCGACCCATAATTGTATAGGAGACATCATATCAGCTACCATACAGGTGTGGTAGATTCAAGGTCGTTCTAAGGCTAATATATATATAAACTGTCAAGCTCGTCTCGAAGACAGCTTTAATTTTTAGGAGTGCGGACAGACTGATAGACCTGTTTCTGTGTTATTTTTTAATAAAGAGCTATACATTAATCGCATGATTTACGCGATTGAAGAGGTCAAACTAACACTCTCTAAAGTTCGAATAATATAAAGCTTAGCATTAAATTGCAAGAGCTTCGTTAGATCCCTACAGCTTTGCAGATGTTAAAAATAATAAATTATTGTCCAATTCATACCAGAAATTAATTATTCTGTTGGTTAATTTTTGAGGAATTTAACCCCTTGTTTCAAAAATAATAAAGAACATAAAATATGAAAAAAAATCTGCTTTTTTTTCTTGCATATATAAAAAATTTAAAGTTCCTTTACTCCTCCCCCCCCTTGCTTATTAATTTCTTTTCTTTAAATTTAAAAATTTAGTTATTAACAGAATTCCCTACGTGGCTAGTTATCAAAAATAGAATCTATAGTTTTTTAAAAATACTATAAGGTTTTTTCTTTAAACTAGTCTCTGTATCGTAATACAACTGAGATTAGTTCTATAAAAACTTTTAATATAGTTAAATAATTGAAAAAAGGGTTAAAGAGTAACAGACAATTTAATTTTTTCTTATAAATTAAGAAAAGTTCAAATTATTTAAAGAATTCACTTTATTTAGCGCATGTGTCTAATTAATTACAAGTAAATATAACTAAAAATAAAAAAATTAACCATTCATTTTGTTAACAAAGAAAATAAAATATATTGATGGACTTTTAAAACTGCTGTTACACTAAAGTAATATACGCTTAATTAAGTGATACGTGTGATACCCACTTCAGCCTTAAAAATAACTTAATAACTAACCAAATGGGCTTTTAAAATTTATATCTTCCGATATGAAATATGCGGAAAACAGAGGTTCATACATTATATTAAATAAAGTAAGCTTCTCTACTTATAAAAAAAAAAGGAATCAATTTACACTCCTTTTTAAATAGTTTAAAACTTAGCTAGGAAGTAATTCTAAAAACGTTTCAAGTTTTTTAATAGCGTCAAACTTAAGTGTAGAATATAAACAAGTGGATGAAAGTTATATCGAAGTTGCCGATGATAATTAATACTAAACTAGTAAAACAAAACTCACTAATAGTTTTACCGTTTCAATGTTTTAGGACAAATTAGTCTTCTTATATACGCTAAAGATTATATGCTCAATGGAACCGCGTGGATGTTATTTTAATGTTTTAGAATTTTTATTACTGGTTTTAATTTTTTAAGTATATTATTAAGATTTATTTTTTTATACCTTAATGATTTTAGTTGAAAGAAAATGGTAAAAAGACGATTTACGACTTTAGATGTTATATCCATTTCTAAAGAACTGCACGAACTTTGTGCTGGAATGAGAGTTGCTAATATATACGATGTAAATTCAAAAACTTACTTGTTCAAGGTAAAACTCTGCATTATATAAATTAACATATTATTTTTATTATTACTTAACTTTAATATATTTATTATATAAATTAATGTTATTTTTAAAGCTTACGTACTTACTATTTATAATCTTAAGCTTAGTAGAGGAGAAAAAAAAGTCGTTCTTTTAGTAGAAAGCGGAATTAGAATTCATTCTACCAACTATAATTGGCCCAAGCCTCCAGCTCCGGACTGGTTTGCAGTAAAGGCTAGTCTTTAAATTTATTAAAAGTCCACTTTAATTTAATTTCATTTTTTGTATTAATAAAAAGCTCAGAAAACATATAAGAACTGAATGTCTGCAGTCCATTACTCAATTAGGGGTTTTATATTTTTCTAAATTTCTTATAATAATAAAATTTATTGTAAAAAATTATTACTTTGGAATTATTTTTTTATTCTTTTTCTTTTTATTATTATATATTTATATATATTTTTTAACTTTGTAATTTAGATCGACAGAGTTGTAGATTTAAAATTTGGACATGCTCACAAAGTTACTCATGTCATTGTTGAATTATACGCAAAGGTTTAACGAAATTTTTTCTTCCATTTTATTTTGTTTCTTTTTTTTGTTTATAATTATTATAAACTTTATTATTTTTAATTTAGGGGAATATAATTTTAACAGACGATCAATACGTTATCCTCGCTATTTTACGAACTCGAATTCTCTCCACCAAAGTTTCTGAAACTCCTAATCAAGGCTGAATAATTTATAATTATTACTATTCAAATTTTTTTTATAGTTGAGAATTTTGATTTTAAGATTTGCACTACACTTGTTTATTATTATAATAAAGTTTTTTTTTTAGATGAGAATTTTGATGTCAAGATTTGCGTTGGAGAAGTTTATCCTTTTGAGGTTTTTATTAGATTAAATTTTTTAGATTTAAAATTTTTAATTGTTTAAATATATATTTATCAGAAACTTTATTTATTTATATTAGACTGTTAAAGTGAATTTTGATATAATCACTGAAGAAAGTGTGCAATCTTTATTTAATTCTGATGAAGTTATTCAAAAAAGTTTGAAGAATTTTCTATCTTCACGTTTTGGTAGTTGAACAAACTTTATTTGAAATTTAACTTTTTAAAAATCGATTTAAAATACTATTACTTTATTATATTTTAAATAATTATTTTATATAAAATTGATTTTTCATTAATAATTAAAAATTTAATTTATTATATATAATACTATTAAATAGTGTTTACAGCTTTTGTATATCTTAATATTATAAATAATAAATATTTTATATTAAAAAAAATCAAATTTTTCTATATATTGTTTTTACTTCATATTTTTTTACGACTTTCGCTTTTGTGCGCAGATTTGTACTATTTTTTGCTTCTGTTCGTATTTAATTTTTTAAAAATTTTTATTATATATAATTTTTTTAATATCTATTTTTATTATTATTTTTTATAATAAAGATATTTTATTATGTTTTTAGTTATTTTAATTTAATATTTAATATTTTGAAACTGAAATTCTTCTAATATGGAATTTTTAAGTATATTTTGTTCTACTTGTTTCTAATTATATATATAACTTTTTGAGAAATTAATTTTTAAAATTTTATACACCTTACATCTTGTAATGTTGTAATTTTTTTTAATTTCAAAGTTATTTTTAATTTTTTCTTTTATGTTTATTTATATTTATATTATTTTTTCTTATATATTAATACGTAGAAGGTCAATTTGATAAGTTTTGACACTACATAAAACCTAGATCTTAAAAGAAATTTGCAGATTTTGTTAATTTTATTTTTTTAATTTTCTTTTTATGATTTAAGTTAAAAAGTAGAATTTAACAAAATAAAAGTATAAAAATAAGATAACTATTTTCGCATTGTAAAAAAGTTTTAAAAAAGCAAATATTTATAATATTATTAGTAAAAGTATTAATAATATGAATATAATCATACATGTGCATTTCTAATATTTATAAATTTACAACACCTTACGTAATATTTTCAAAGTTTTGTTTTGTTATATTTAAGAATAATAAAGAAACATGACTTTTTTTATATTATAAACTTTTATTAACCTAAAGCTTTTAAAGCATATACTAATACGCATTTTATTTTTATTTATAATGAATATATAATTTTATAAATGTACTCTAATGTTCGTATAATTTTAAAGTTTTGTTATATTTATAAATAGAAAATAAACTTGATTGTTTTTATTTAATAAACTTTTAATAAAATGATAAAATTCGCATTGTTTTTTTATATTTACTGAATATATTTTATATATAAACTTTTATTGTATAATATTAAATTAAAATTCTACATATAGACCAACTAATGTTTTACTTTTTTATCAATAAATACTGTTAATTTTGTTTTTTTATTAAAAGTTGATAAAGAATTTACAAAATTTTTGAGAAGCTAATATTTTTTTTATAAATATTAATTTTTGCTTTAAAAATTTTGTTTAAATATTTCTTTTATATAAAAAATTAGCTGTATATATATATATATTTTTATTTAACAATATTTTATAATAGATAAAGTTATTATAATAATTTTATATTTGTTTATTATTATTTTAAATTTTTTTTTAAAAATTAGCTAATAATTTTGATTATTATAAGAAAAATTTCACATTTTCAAAAATAATTATAAAATTTATTAAACTTTTTTTGGATAAGAAATATTAATTAGCGTAATATAAATAAATTTTATATACTATTTTTTCATATCAGCCTTTTGTTTTTAAGATTGTTTTAAAAATAACTTTCACACAAAAAAATAATTTATATTAATTTATAAATCTTTTAAAATAACTTTTTTAATATTATTTTTTGGTATTTTATATTTTATTTTATTATTATTATAAAAATTTTTTGAAAGATAATTATTATTATTTAATTTTATTAAAATAACTTTTTTTTGTTAATTTTTAAATTTTTTATTAAAATTTCTATTTTTTTTTAATTTTTATTATATTATCATTCTTTAGCATAATATATTATATTAAAAATTTAATAACAATTTTATTTTCTAGAAGTTTCTATAATATCACTTGTTTAAAGTTTTTATAATTTTTAAAAAATTTGTAATTATAAACAAATTAATATTATACATTTCTATTAATTTAGTTTTTACAAGTTTTTTATTATATTTATTATATTATAATTTTTAAGCGTCATAAATATATTTATATTAAAAATTCATAAATATTTTACCTTTTCATTAAATCTTAATTATACTTTTAATTTATTTTTGTATATTATAATTTTATATTTATATTATTCATAATTAATTATTTTTTATTATTATTATTTATTATATATTTATAATATTTTTTATAATATAATTAATATATAAATATTTACATTAAGTTTTTGCTTTATTTAAAATTTATACATTAATTTTTTAAGAAACTTATATTACTTTTAAAACTTTTTTTTAATAACTTTTTGTTTATTTTTAGTAAATTATTTTATTTAATAGCTGATAAATTTAATAATTTTTTTACTTTTATTTATTATATTTAAAATAAATAGTGCAATTCTATAAAACTTTTTTTACGTGCTGTTATATATTTTATTATATTTGATTTTTATTACATTTTTATGTATAACATTATTTCTTTGTTTTATTATTTATAATTATTATGTTTATTTTTTTTATTTACTTTTTTATATATATTTATATAACCCGTTCATCTTTTTTTATTAATTATAAATTTTTTTGTATACTTTATTATGTATTATAAATTTGTATTTTTTCATATAATATAATTTATTTTTATATATTTATGTATTATTTTATATTAATATTTATATAATAAAATACTTGTTTATTTTTTTGATTACCACTAATTTATTTTAAGTATTTTTCTTTTTGTATTTAAAATTTTTTAAAAGTTTTAAATTTGTAATAAAATTATAATTAATATAATTTTTAAAATATTTATAAATTTTTTTTTAAATGTATATATTTACTTTTATATTATTCATATTATTTATTTTCTTAAAAAAAGTATTTAGAATTGTAGATTTATTTGTTTATTGTGATTTATTATAAAAAGTATTATAATTGTAATTTACTTTTTATTCTTTTTATTATTTTCTTTTTGTTATAATAAAAAAAAAAAAAGTATTAGAATTGTATATTGTTACTTGAATATTATATATATATATTTTATATATATCTAGTACCCTTTTCATGTTAATTTTATATTATTTACGTATTATTTTTTCATTTTCTATTATTATTTACATTTTAGAAATCTTTTATTTTTATTTAATATTTTTTTATATACTTTTATATGTATCAGTGTATTTTTACTTTTACTATATTAATTATTTTTATATATTTTATAAGATTTTTTTATTATTTTCTTTTTTATTAGAAAATATTTATATTTATTTATTTATATGCTTTTATATATATAACACTTTTCATTTTACTTTTTGATAATTTTATTATTTTTTATTTTTTATTACTTTTATAAATTTTATATCAATAGAAATATTATATAATTATCTATATATGTTTTTCTTTTTTTTTTTTTATAATTTATATATAATTTATATCTTATTATATTAATTATTCAAAGAATACGGACCTTCCTTGATTGAGCATTCTTTGCTAATGAAGACCTGCCTAAGTCCTCAGAAGAGCGTTTCTTCTATTTGTTGTGAGTTTTACCTTTTTATTTTATAAAGAAAATATTAATATTTTAAATGTAATCAGTAAAAGTTTTTTTTTATTAAATTTTATATTTTTTTTGTAATATAATTGAATATATATTTACTTTTTTTATTAAATAACTTTTTACTTTTTTATTCCGATTTATAAAATTTACTTTTATATATAATTTATACCAAAATTATAAGTATTCAGTAAACTTTTTTGTTATATAAATTTTCTAAGAATTATTAAAATGTATTTAATTATATTTTTTTTGTTGGAATAATTTATTATATTTACTTTTTTTTGTCAAATAATTTTTAACTTTTTTTTACTCCGAGTTATAAAGTTTACTTTTGATTTTATAAGAAATATAAAAACTCTTCGGTTATAATATTAATAAATTTTATATATATTTTAACTATGTGAAAATATTTACTTTTTATTAAATAGCTTCAAACTTTTTTATATCAATATTTATATTTACTTTTTTTTATATAAAAAAATTATATAAATGCTAATAAAATAATTTTTTTTGTATAATTTAATATATTTACTTATATTATTTAATTAACTTTTAAATTTTTACTTCAATCAAATGTTTATTTTTTTATATATTTATATCAGAATTATTAGAAAAGTGTTTTTTTTAATTATATATCTATTTTATTAGAAAAAAATAAATTATTTACTTTATTTCGTTAACTTTTTGTAAAAAAGTTTTTATTTTAGTAATTATTAAGTAATAATTTTGTTGTAACAAACTTTAATATTTCCTAAAGGTTATAAGAATTACTTAAATTGTATATTACTCAATTTTTTTTTTATACAGTTTATATTATTTTAATATATTTTTATAATTTTTATATAAACATTATAAGGATTATTAAAGTATTGCTTCTCTGTAAACTATTTTTTTATTTTTTTTAAATTTTTATATTTTTATTACAAAAATAAAATAAAAAGTATAAAGTTTAATAATAAAAGTTGCGTTTTTTAGTTCCGATATACAATTTTTTTGAAACTTAAAGTTTATGTATATTTTCAAAACTTTTTATTATTTTTAAAAAAAGATATATCTCGTAAATATTTATAAGTTTTTATTTTTTATTATATATATAAATTATATACAAATCGTAATACTTTTATAAAATTTTATGATTACTTTTATATATTCACTAACTTTTCGTTATTTTTTATTTTTAAAATAAACTTTTGGACTTCAGGATTATTTATGAAGCAACTTTTCAAAAGTTTATTTTATTATTATGCATTTGATAAATTTTACTTTAAAACTTTTGATATTTATTAAAAAAGTTTTTATATATATTAGTTACTATTATATTTATATTTATTATCTTTCGTTTAACGTTAACTTTTTTTTTATAAGCATTTTTATGAAAGCTTTTTCTTATAACTTCTTTTATATTGTTTAAGTTTTCTTTTTATAAATGATTTTTTTCTTCTTAAATTTATTCTATTAATAATATTTTTAAATACACTTTATTATTTTCTTTACATCCTTTATATTTTTATATATTATTTTTCGTTAACTTTAACTTTTCTATGTAAGCATATTTAGAAAAGTTTTTTTTAAAACACAAGTTATATTTGAAATTATTGTATTAATAAGTTTATTATATATAATTTTTATTACTTTCTAAATATCTTTCATATTTTATTATTATTTTTAATAAAAAGTTTTATGAAGATAAAATAAATTGTTCAGATAATTTCTTATTATCTTTATTTTCTGTAATATAATTTTATTAAATTTATTATTTTCTTTTTTTTCTAATAAAATTTATTAAAAATAAGTTTAATTTTTTTATTATTATAATTTATATATAATATAAATTTTACTTTTTATAAAAGTGTTTACATAATTTCTTTTTATCAATTTTTTAATAAATATTTCTTTTACTTTTTATAATATAACTTACAATTTGTTATTTTATTTTCGTTAATATATAATTTGCCTGCTAATATAAGTTTCTTTTTTTATTTTTATAACTATTGAAAGTTTTCTTATATGTTATTATTTTTTATAAATTTGTGTGAAGTTTTTGAATTTTATAAAAGTAACTTTAATAATTAAAAGTTTATATTTATTATTTATCGTTTAAAATTTTTATTATAAATTTCATTATACATCTATAAGAAGTTTTCTTGATAGTGACTTTAATTAGTAAAATATATATATTTATTATATCGTTTCATATTTTTATAATGATTTTTGTTATATTTTTAAGAAGTACTTGAAAGTAACTTTTATAAATGAAAGGTTATATTTTCTTTATTGTTTGATGATAATAATATTTTTATATTTTTTACGGAGTTTTTGAACATAACTTTTAAAAGTCAAAGTATATATTTATTACTTTTAAGCTTTTTTATTTTTTTTTTATAAAAGCCTCGCGCGACTATAAAAATATTCTCGACGCTTTGAACTTTGCAAGAGAAGTTATATATAATACTTCTTTCAAGGTTTTTAGTTCTTATAAAAGTTTATATGTTATTGTTATTGCATATAAAATAATATTTATAAGGCTTTATTAAATAAAAAAGTTTTACAAAAATTATATTAGTAGATGAAAAAATATTTAATAAAATTTACTTTTTGTAAAACTTTTAAAAATAGAGAAAAGTGGAGAATTGTTTAATATATATAAAAAATTATTTTACTACAAAAAAGTTAATAAAGTTTTCTAGTAAATAATTTTATATAATTAAAAACAATTTATAAATAAAATTTTACTAAGTTTCTTTAATAAAATTAATTAAAAAAGTATTTATAAAAATTTACTAAAAAATATTTTAAATAGTTTACAATAATAAATATTATTAATATTATTATAAACTAGAATTATATTCAATGATGTAATAATCTTTTATAAATTATTATTATTAATTATTAAATACTAAGATATAATAAATTAAAAGTAAAAGTAAAAGTGAAAACAAAAATAATTATATATAAAAATTAAAACAATATAATAAATAAAAATAGTTTTAGAGTAAAATAAGTCGTAATAAGTATTTAATAAATTAAAATATTTTAAAATTATTAATTGAAATGTTGAAAAATTTTGTTACAAAGTAAAAATTAAGTAATAAATTTTTTTATAATAATATTTATAAATTTATAAGTAATAAAACAATAAGTTAAAATTCTTATAAAGGAAAAATCAGATAATAAAATATCATAAAATAATATTAAATATTAAATTATGAATAATTATAATAAATAAAAACATTAAATCTGTATTATTAATTATTTATAGAAAATAATAATAAAGTAATTGCACAGTAAAATAAATACAAACAAAATAATATAAAATATATATTGAATAAAAGCAAATAATAATAATTAATGAAAAAAAATGTTATAAATTTTTTTTTTAATAATTCCGCATAATAATATATAAAATAAGTTGTAAAGTAAAAGGAAAATAAAAAATATTTATAAATAATATCAGAAAAAAATAAAATAATAAGAATAAATATAATCGTTACGTATGAATAAATAATAAGTAAATTTATAAGTAAAAATTATATATAATAAAGTAATAAAAAAATATAAAAAAATAAAGTAAAGTAAATGTTTTTTGAAAGTAAAACTACAAAAAGAAAATATTTATAAAGTTTTTGTAGAAGTTTATACAGAAAAACAATTAATAACTTATATAAATATTATGAATATACTTTTTATTATTATTTTTAGGGCTTCATAATACAAAAGAAAGAAGGGCGAACTGATGTTGAGGGCAGAACTTCAATATTTTTTGTGTATTATATAAAAATATTCTATAAAAAATTAATATATATTTGCTTTGTTGAGAATTTAAGTGGACCAATTTGCTTATTTATAAAAATTAATTTTTCTGTCATATAAAATTAGTATGTAACCCGTCAAGACTAACCCGTTAGTTTTTTTATTTTTTTTTTTCCTTTAATGAAATAATGAATTTATAATAAATTTTTAAAATATTCATAAACTAAAAATAAATTAAAAAATATAAAAAGTTTATATAATTTTTATCAGATTTAAGAAAATGAAAATAAACAATTTATAAATTTCCACTAGAAAAAACTTGTGCAGTAAAGTTTTCAATTATTTTATTAATATCAAATTTTTATAAAAAAAAGTTTTTAGAAAATATTATTGTTTGATATTTTATAATTATTAAGATTGGCTTAAATAATTACTTTAAAATTAATTTTATTGGTAGAGACAGACGGTAGGAATTTTTATTTATTTTTATATTTTTGTTGTACTTGATTGATCACGACAGTTATAAAAGTTTTTTAAAATTATTATTATTATCACCATTATATTATTATTATATTTATAATTGTTATTATTTCTTATTTATTACTTATATTTATAAGACTTTCTCTAGTTTTATTACGTTTAACTGAATAATTATTTTTGTATTATATTTATTATTATAATTTTTTTATTATATATTTTAAAAAGTTTTCTTTAGTTTCGATCAACTAATAAATTATAATTATTTATTATCATTATTACTACTATTATATTATCATTATTTATATTATTTTTTATTTATTTATTACATATAAAAGTTTTTTTTGGTTTTGTTAAGTTTTACCATTAAGTTACGATTATATTTTTTTATTATTATTATTTTATTATCGCTATTGTTGTATGTTATTTACTATTACTATAATCATTAGTAACGAAGAGTATCATCCTCTTCTTTTCAAGCAACACGAGACTTTACCTTATAAAGAGTTTGATACTTTTAATCTGGTTTTATTTTATTTATTTACTTTTTTATTACTCTTTTATAATTATTGTTATCATATAATTTATTAAAAAATATTTATTGATAAATAAAGTTATAAAACATTCATATTCTTATCGATAATAAGCAAAATAAATATTCAAAATGTTAATAATATAATTATAAATTTAATAATAATAAATATATAACTGTTTATCACTGTAAAGAAAATATATATAATATTTAATAATCACAATAAATTTAAGAATATTAAGTATAAATATGAATTACCCTAAAAAAATTTTAAAAGAAAATAAAAATAATTATTAAAAAATATATAAAGTGAATATAAAATATTAATAATAATATATTATAATAATTATGATTAGTTTAATAATAAAAAAATCAAAAGTATATATAAAGAAATTAAAAAACATTAACAAAAAATAATAATAAATATAATTATGAATTATTGTGGAAAATTAGTAAAAATTTAATGATTGTTTGAGAATATAAAAATTAAAGTTAAAAAATATTGATATTATAATAATAATTTTAAGAATACTAAATATAATTAGGAATTATTGTAGAACTTAAATGAAATTTAATAATTTTTTAAAAATATTTATACTAAATATAAAAATTTTTAATAAAATTATAATAATAATAAATATAATTATGGTTATTACCAAACAATGTAATATAGAACACATTTATAGTATAATATATTAAAAAAAAAATTTTATAATTTAAAAAAATATTTTTATTTTTTACTATGTTATAATTGTTTGAAAATTTACGTAATGAATACATTGTATTAATAATAAATATAATAATAATATTAACTATAATTTATATATTACTGTAAAAATAAAAATAATGTAAATATACAAAATGAATATGGAATATATTACTAATAATTATTATAATAATAGTAGTGGTAGTAGTATATGTTAATATAAATATTATTTTTTTACAGGCCGTTGACGAATTTTATTCAAATTTAGAAGCTCAACGAATCGATATTATTGCACTTCAGCATGTAATAATAAATAGTTTTTGTAGAGAATTATAACTTATATATATATATATTTGTTTTTACTTATTGCGTATTAACTTTTTTAATTAGTAAAACTTTATATTTTAGTGTATTTTTTCTATATAATAAACTTTTTTTTACTGATAATAAATAGTATTTAAAGCTTTTTTTAGAAAAATATAAATTTTATTTTTTATGCAATATTTTTATGATACTTAAAACTTTTTTGTTTTTAAAATATTGTATATAATAAACTTTTTTATACTTTAAAAAAAATTTTTTCAAGTTTTTTTCTAGATATAAAACCTTTATATTTCTTTTGTATATATTTTTTAAGCAAAAATTTATTTTCCTTTTTGGTATATTTTTTATATATTATTTAGTGCTTTTTATGAATTTTTTTTAGAGTTGTATATTAGTATAGTAAAACTTTTTTATTATGTTATAAAGTTTTGTTTTTAGGAAAAACAGGCGCTTAAAAAATTAGAAAATTTACGCATCGACCATGAAAAGCGGCTTTCTGGTTTGGCATCCGAACAGCTCAACGATATACGCTGCGCTCAACTTATTGAAGGTTGCCCATTTAATCAATTTCCTACCCTTTTGTGACCTCTGCTTTCCCTAAATAGCTAATTTGGAACTGGTTGACCGCGCGATTGCTGCTGTTCTTGGTACTATTTTTTATATAATGGAGCTTTTGTGAACTTTTTTCACAATTTTTTTTTTAACTTTAAAAAAAAAAGAACTGCTAGCTTCTCAGTTTTCATGGGACCAAATACATGTAAGTTAGCTCTCTTTATCTCTCGCTAGCAGTAAATAATTATAGTAATATATTCGTACTAATAAATTAGCACTTTTCTATTTTCTAATATACAAACTTTTTAAAAATAAATAAAATATAAGTAATATAGTATATTTTTTTTAAACTTTTTTTTTATATTTTATAATTTTTTTATACTATTATCTATATATTACTAATTTGGTAGGACATGCTAGAGGATGCAAAATCGAAAGGCGATGACCTCGCAGAAGTCGTGCATTCTCTTAATTTAGAAAATAATGCAATAGTGCTTCTGCTATCGTATTATTAATATTATTATCATTATTATTATTATTATTATTATTATTATTATTATTATTATTATTATTATTATTATTATTATTATTATTATTATTATTATTATTATTATTATTATTATTATTATTATTATTATTATTATTATTATTATTATTATTATTAAAGAGATTCTCTGAACAGCGAAAACGCAGAAAACTTATTCAAACCTGAAAAGTTTAAGGTTTATATGTATATTTATTATACATGTTATTATAATAACTTTTTATATAAAAAAGGTGGAAGTTTCTCTTGAACAAAATGCTTATAGGAATGCACGTGCATATTATAATAAAAAGAAAAATGCACAGAAAAAATATGAAAAAACGATGAATACTAGTGAAAAGGTTTTTATATTTATTATTATTATCATCATTATCGTTATTCCTTATTATTTATCATTTTGTAGTATTACTTATTATAACTAATATTTGCTATTTGCAATTCTGAAGGCTTTTAAGTCCGTTGAAAAAGCCACGAAAAGAGAACTTAAAGAAGTCGAGAAGCACGTAACTATACGAAAGCAAAGAAAAGTTTTTTGGTTTGAAAAGGTTTTTCATACTTTTGTATGGAATATTTATAATTATTTTTACATGGATATATATGCTAACATATTATTAGTTATTAAATAATTATGTTTATTATTATAATGTAAAAATATATATTCATTTATTATTTTTTATTTAATATTTGTTTTATTATCATTACTTATATTTAGTAACTTTATTTAATTATTAATATCATATAAATATAGTTCTTATGGTTCATTACTTCCGAGAATTATTTAGTGATTGCAGGAAATAATGCACAGCAAAATGAAATCATCGTTAAGAAATACATGAAAAAGGGTTTTTTCCATTCTATTTACTGAATAAAAAATAACCAATGAGAGGCCTGTTTTTGACATTAAATTATAGACCAATAGGATTATATAATTCTTCACTTTATTATGTTGACCAAAAATAATTATTAGCGTTATAATTATTGACGTTGATAAAATTTATTAATTTTACTTTTTTTTCCTAAAGGAATTTTATTATTTTATTTGTTGTTTTTAAGGCGATATATACGTCCATGCTGATATTCACGGTGCGGCCACATGCATTATTAAAAATAACAGTTCGCATATGGAAATCCCCGCCAAGTCTATTAATGAGGCTGGCAGTTCGTGATTATTATTATTATTATTATTATTATTATTATTATTATTATTATTATTATTATTATTATTATTATTATTATTATTATTATTATTATTATTATTATTATTATTATTATTATTATTATCATTATTATTATTATTATCATTATTATTATTATTATTATTATTATTATTATTATTATTATTATTATTAATTTAGCGTTTTCTATTTGTCATAGTTCCGCTTGGGAGGCCAAAATTGTTATCGGGTAAATTTACTTTAAATATAATTTATATAATTAAGTTATTATTCTTAATATTATTATTATATTATAATATTATATAACTTTAGCGCTTACTATGTAAAACCGGAACAAGTTTCTAAAACGGCTCCAACAGGGGAATATTTGCCCACCGGAAGTTTTATGATTAGAGGAAGAAAAGTATTATTATTATTATTATTATTATTATTATTATTATTATTATTATTATTATTATTATTATTATTATTATTATTATTATTATTATTATTATTATTATTATTATTATTATTATTATTATTATTATTATTATTATTATTATTATTATTATTATTATTATTATTATTATTATTATTATTATTATTATTATTATTATTATTATTATTATTATTATTATTATTATTATTATTATTATTATTATTATTATTATTATTATTATTATTATTATTATTATTATTATTATTATTATTATTATTATTATTATTATTATTATTATTATTATTATTATTATTATTATTATTATTATTATTATTATTATTATTATTATTATTATTATTATTATTATTATTATTATTATTATTATTATTATTATTATTATTATTATTATTATTATTATTATTATTACTGTTATTATTGTTATTGTTACTATTATTATTATTATTATTATTATTATTATTATTATTATTATTATTATTACTGTTATTATTGTTATTGTTACTATTATTTTTTTATTTTTGTTATATATTATAATTATTATTATTTTTTAATAATTATATTGGTATACTTTTATGGTTATATTAATTTATAATATTTTTACTATTAATTTTTTATTTCTTTTCTTATCATTAGTGTATCATTATTTTTATTGTTTCATTCTAATTATTATTTCTCTTATTTCTTTTATATATTATTATAATAAATTATTATTTTCTATAATTATTATATCACTATTTTTTATATCATTGTTATTACTATTAATTTTTATATTTTTCTTGTTAGCTTATTACTTTCTCTAAAATTTTTGTAATAATAATATATGAATTTTTTCTTATTATTAGTTTATAATATTATTATCACTAATATTTTTATAAATTTATTAATTTTTGGTTTATTTATATTTTTATTATTATTGCTATTAACTGTTATATTTTTTTAAGAACTTTATTCTACATTTTTAACTTTTTTCTATTAATTCTATTTACTTTCTTATAATTAGGTTTTCATTTCTATTATTGTCGTTATCATTTTTTTATTTATTTAAATTATTAATTTTTTAAAAAAGATATGCAATATTAATTTTATGTTTATATTTTTTATTATTATAATTATATTAATGACATTACTATTTCTATCATTTTTATTAACCTTTATTACTAGTTTATACTATTATTTTTGTCGTTACTATTATTATATATTTTTATGTTATTTTTATTTTTAAAATAATGCATTAGTAGTATTATAATAATATGTATTTTCTTCTATTAATTTATTAATGAACTGTATTATAATTTAGTTTTGATATTCGTTTATTATTATTATTATTGTACTCTTAACATATATTTTAGTACATATTATTACTATTATTTAGTACGTTTCTAATATTTATAGAAAATTTTCCCACTTTTAAATATATTATTATTTATTTTCTTAATAGTTTAGTATTATTTTTATTATATGTTTTTATAATTTATTATGTTTATAATATTTATAGAACTTTTTCTATTTATTTTCTTGTTAGTTTATTATTGTTGTTGTACTGTTATTATTAAATATATTATTATTATTACTACTATTGTATATTTCGTTTATAATATTTATAAAAATTTCTGTTTATTTTCTTATTAGTTTATCAATACTTTCATTGTTGCTATTATCTTTTTATTCTTATATATTTTTTGACTATTTGATAATAATATTATATTTTATTAATGTTATATATTTTCTTATTATTATTTAATATGTTTTCTATAGTATTTGTAGGGCTTCGTGACTCTTTTTCTTATTATATCATTATTTTTTTTCTTATTATTAGTTTTTCATTATTACTGTTACTATTTTTATATAATTTTCAATTCTTAATTTATTATTATACATTACTATGTTACTTTTATCATTTATGTTTATTATTATTTCTTATTATTTATAGAACTTTCTTCCACCCTCTCAACTTATTATGGGCTTTGGCTTTCTTTTTAGGCTCGATGAAACTTCTGTAGGTTTGCGCCTTTTATATAAACTTCTTATTTTTCTTAAACTTTTATTATTATTTATATAATAAAAAAAAATGTCCAATTTATTATTTTAATTTAAGCTTTCTTCATAACCTTTTTACTTTTTTACTGTTATTTTGTTCGTTTAATATTTCTTATTAGTTTATATAATAATAAAAATAATAAACGCTTTTGTTATTATATTTTTTATTTATCTTTTATTATAATATTTATTATTTATATATATAATTTTGCTTTATTATGATATTATTTATATATAATTTTATTATATATAAAAATTAATAGTTTTTAATAATTTATTTTGGTATAAAAGTTTAGTAATTTTATAGAATTTTATTATTAAATTCAAAAAAACGAGTTAGCAAAAATATTAGCTTTTAGTTGGGTTAATAGTCAATAGTTTGGCGAAATAACCAACGAATTTAACAAAATGAAACTAAAGTAAACTAATATATGACCCTCGTGCTGATGGGTAATAGTGTATGCTGCTGTGTATCTAACAGGATATGCAGGATTATGCTCTGTTACTAATAGCATTGTTTACTGGGATTTATTTATATATTTTTAAAACCTTGTTTTGTTTTTATATTTATATATAAATAACTTTTTATCTATAACTATTCTCATTATATTATATTTATAAACATCCTAATTATCAAATTATATTTTATTTATATATATTATAATAATTTTTTTAATTAAATTCTTTATTACCAAATTCTTATTATTAAAAAATTTAAAATATTATAACGTTTCTCACTATTATCTTTATCATTATTTATAATATTTTTTATTCAAATCATGAAATTTTTTATTCATTAGTTTGCTTTTATAAATATTACTAGTAGTTCCTCGTTTTTTATATTTTATTGTTATTAATATATTAGAAAGTATATAAAAAAATTATTATATATAGTTATGTAGTTACTAAAAAATTATTATTATAATTTTTATTTCTTTTCTGTTATTTATTTATTATTAATTATATAATTTTCTAGTTACTAAAAAAATTCATTATTATTTTTTTTATAAAAATAAATTTTTTTATTATATTTATTTTATCTTTTTCTATTATTTATTATTATTAATTATGCAATCGTAAAAATTATAATAATATATTTTTTTGTTTGCTTATTATAATTGTTCATTATATAATTTTTTAGTGGAATTTTATTTATCACTTGTACTTAAAAAAAATATTTTTACATTTATTATTTTATTGTGTAGCTAAATAAAAAAATATATAATTTTCTTTTTATAGTATACAATTTATTTTTATTTATATTTATTATTCTGTTTATTTTTTATTATTATATATTTTAATTATTTTATTTTTTTATTATAAATATTTGCTTTATTTATTAACTAAATAATAATAAATAAACCTGATTGTTTAATTTATTTTATTTTTTTTAATAAATAATTATTTTCTGTTTAATTTATACTATTTCATTTTATATTAATAAATATTTTTTTTACTTAATACTAATATGTTTCCATAGCAAACCACGCGAATGAAAGAAAATCTCTTCAATATACCGATAACGATGACTCTAAAGAATATGCTTTTACCATAAAAGTTTAATAATGTTTTATTATAATAATAATAATGATAATAATATGTGAAAGGATTACGAAGAACGAAGTCATAGAAAACAAAAAAATACTAATGAAAAAAATAACCAATCGGACGCCAAAGAGTTGGAATGCGACACTTTTTTGAGCAGCTCGGAAAGCCACGAGGAAGACGACACTATTTTTCCAGACACAAAAGTCGTAACGGTTGGCTTTGGCCTGTACGGCCCACCTGATTCTGTCGCTAAAAGTGATGAAGTTGTTTCGAATGCGAATGAAAACGTTCGAGCGAAGCGTTATATGTCTGCTAAAGAAAGGAAGGACTTAAGAAAAAGTTCTTGCAAATCTCAAAATAGAGAAAATAATATAAATACTAATAATAATGAAAATAATAATAAGCTCGAAGTAGTTCGGCCATATGTTAGAGGGAAAAACAAAAAACTCAAGAAAATTAAAGAAAAGTACCGCGATCAAGACGAGGAAGATAAAAGACGAGCATTGGCCGCCTTAAAGCCGGATGGTACGATCTATAAAAATTGATTACAAAGAAAGGTCGCCTACTTACCTTATTTTTTGTTGGGTTATGGAAGGAGCCAGAAAAATAAAGAAAAAATCTGCCAATAAAAAAGCTGGACAGAAAAATAGTGATAAAATTTCAGCGCTGGAAAGACAATCAGAAGCGGGAAAAAGGACTTTTTTAAAGCTCGTAGGAGAAACCACTAGCAACCTACCAGCTACTGAAATGCTCCCAGAAATACAGAAAAGTTACTTAATTGCGCTCATTTCTCTATTTTAAGGCCAATTTTAAATTTTTCTATAATAATTACGATCTGATTAGCTCGCGAAGAAATATTACAAACGCGTCAAGAAAGAAAGCAGAAACAGAAAAAAGATGAAGAAGAACTTGAAATATTAAAAAAGGAAGAAAATATAGTTGACGAGGAAGAAAAGGTCTCATTATTATTTTTAATAAAAAAAGGGCTCTAACGCTGTTAAAATGTGCGCGTTCTGATAGGCAAATCTAGACGCGTTAGACCAGCTCACTGGAATCCCCCGCACCAATGATGTTCTTTTATTTGCTCTTCCCTTCTGCGCTCCGTATTCCGTTATGCTGAATTTCAAAGTAAAAATATACTACAAACTTATACTTATAACCTTTATCTATATACTTTTTTTCATTACTAAAAAAAAAATTTATGATCAAGGTAAACAATAGAGTTAAAGTTTTACTTACTATTTTTTTATGTAAAAAGTAATATTATTAGTTCAGTATTATATTAATGACTTTTTTACTTTTTCTCGTATAAATTAAAATTATATTAATACTACTTTTATAAAAAAAAAGCTCATTATTTTTACTATTAAAGTTTTTTTTATATATCACTAAAATTTTAAAGATCGCAAATAGTATTTTACTTTTCTTAATAGTTATTAACTTTATTTTTATTTAAATATAAAAACTATAGATCTAATGAAATTGGATAAATAAATAAATTTATAAATTTATATTTTTTTAATGTCTTCTTATATACTAAAAGTTTAAAGTTGAGGGAAGCAAAAATAATATAAATGTTTTAATTTATATTATTAATATTAATATAAAAAAGTAAAGCAGTAATAATTATACTTTTTCTAAAGAGTATTATAAAAAAAGTTTTACTTTTTTTTTATAAGTATTATTTACATTTTTATATATTATTAAAAGTTTAAAGTGAAAGCAATTTAAAATAATATAAACGTTGTATTATAAATATTATTATATAAACTAAAGAAATAATTAATTTTTTCTTAAAAATTATTGTTATGAAAAACGTTTTTCTTTTTTTTATTATTACTTTATCATTATATTACTAAAAGGTAAAAGTAAAAGCAAAGAGAAATATGATAAGTTTAATAATATTACATAAGATTCTTAGAATAAATTTACTTCATATGCACATTAATAATATTTAAAAGTTAAACTTAATAAGATTGTATTTTGAATAAAGTATAAAGTCAAATTAACGCCCGGAAATTCTCGTAAAGGCGCTGCTGCTAAACTTGCGAAGGAACTTTTTTTGAAAAATTCAGATTCTGCTGTTGAAAAAGTGCGTTTTATTTTTATTACACTTTATAAAAGTTTTAATTGGCTTTTTTTTTATTAAATTATGTTTAATAAAAAATAAATCTGATTGGCTACTTATATTGAAGGTGTAAATTAATGATTTTTAGAAAATTTAATTTTTCAATTTTATTAATTGATTTTTCGTTTTTTTGGTTTTTACTGTCAAAAAAGTGCGTATCACTTTTTAAATATATTTATGAAAGTTTTGATTGGCTATTTATTAGAAAATTATAATTGAATATTAGCTTTTTTAAAATAATTTTTCATCATTATAAATTAATTTTTGCTTTTTAGTTTTTTCCTTAACAAAAAGTGCATATTAATTTCAACAAAATTTATAAAAGTTTTTATTGCCTATTTTTTAAATATTATAATTGAATAATATCTTATTAAAAATATTTTTTATTAACTTCAATAAATTTGGCATTTTTTAGTTCTGCTTTTTAAAAGAGAGTATGTGTCAATTTTTTTTATATATTATAAAAGTTTTAATTGGCTATTTATTAGAAAATTATAACTAAATAGGAACTTTAAAAAATTCAATTTTTTATTTTTTTGACATTTTGCTTTTTATAAATTTTTCTGTAAAAAAAAGCGCATGTTAGTATATTTAAAATTTATAAAAGTTTTGATTGCCTATTTACTATAAAATTACTACAATGATAGATTTTAAAAGAAATTTCATTATATTAATAAATTAGGCCTTTATTTATAAATTCGTATGTTTAAAAAGTGCATATCAGTATTATTAAAATTTATTTATAAAAGAGTTTTGATAGGCCATATATGAGATAAACAAAAAGTTTAAAAATGATTGTCTAGTTTTAAAAGTTTTTAATAAAAAAATATATTAAAAAAATTTGGTTACTATAATTATTTATAGATTTGCTCCTTTTTCTAACTAATAAAAATTAATGGTTTATTCATTTATTAATTGACTATATCTTCATATGAAAATTGTAATACTTTATTGCTATTACTTTTTATATTATTTTATTATGAAAATAACTAGAAAAAAATAAATTTTTGTTTATTCAGTAATCGACTTCTTTATATAAAAATTTTCGTATTTTATTACTATTAAAATTATTTTTGTATAGTTATAGTTATTATTATAGATATAATGAAATATGTATGCTTATAACATTAGTTACTGATTGGCTATACATTTTGGAAAATATATTATTGAAATAATTATTTCGTGGTTTTTCATATAAATTAGTGTTTTTGGTTTAAAAAATTGACTTTTTATTTTCTTTTGGTCGACTTTTATATAACTTGATTATTGGTATTTATATACTTTTATTATAAGTTTTGTAATAATGAAGGTTTTCTATAAAAAATATATAACTAACTTTTTTTGTCATCGTTATTGTTATTGATGTCCACTTATTATGAATATTTTATTTAGAAATAAAAATTTTTACTTCTTTTAGCTCTCATAATTGGCGTTTTTATAAAAATTATAATTTTAGCCATTTACAATTTTTTATTATTTTTTTATTATTGGCTGTTTGTAAAAATTATAATATATGTTAAATTAGTACTAATTGTTTACATACTATTTAATATTTATATTAATATTTTTTATAATATCATTTTATTGCTTTTTTTATATTAATGGTACATAATAAAGTTCATTAGAAAAATATTAATACTAATATATTTGCTATTATTATTTGATTTTTTATTAATATTATATTTAATATACTTTTTGTTGGCTGTTACTAATTTTTGTTGTACCTACGAAAAATATTCAAAAAAAATTATTTTTAAAATATTTCCTATTATTATGATATAAATATTTTGATCATTTTTTATGGTGCATATGAAATTTGTTTTTTTCCAAAGAAAATTAATTTTAATGATATTTCATCATTTTTTTAATAGTTAATTTTCTATAGAGCCCTTATTATTGGTTATTTATTAATGTATACAAAAAAAAATTTATAAAAATTAATTTTGATTACATTTACTACCGCCATTTTTTTTTCTTATTATTACTGTTTAATTGTACTAAAAAATAGTCTTAGTGTAAGAAAAATTTATTACTATTTTTTTATTTACTTTTAATTATTATTCCACATTTTTATAAAATTTTTATAATAGTTATATTTGCTGTCAATTTTATTTTTATATACAAATTTTTTATATCATTTTTATTGCCTATTTTTTAATTTTATTGTACGTATAATATCTTATAAAAAAAATTAATTCTGAATATATTTTCTTTTACGATTTTTTATTTACTAATTTATTAAAGGAAAACGATTAAATTTTTTTCTTTCGCTTTCATTATTTTGTAATAATTTTATATTTATTGGCTATATTTTTTTGTTGTACACATATTAATTCTTTTTAAAATTCCAATCATATTTACTATTATAATATTCATTCACTATTTTTTAGAATCATAAAATAAAATAGTACATATTTGTTTTACATTATTTTTTATCATAATTCATTTTTATTGGCCATTTTTTATTTTTATTGTACATATATAACTTTTTTTTTAAAAAATAATTAATTCCAGTTATATATACTTTTATAACCTATAATTTATTAAAAAATTAAAAAATAATAAAAGTAACTACTATTTTTATTTTAATTCATTTTATTGGCTATTTTCTATTATTGTACGTATAAAAAAATTAATTTTCCTTTTTTGTACTACTTTATTTGCTATTATAGTAATTCAAGTTTTTTTTATGAATAACATTATTGTTGCACAAGGAAATAATAATCTAATATATACTTTTGTTATGGTTTTCTTTCCTTTTTTTAATTATTTATAGTAAAATTATATTTTTTATTTTTATTGCTTATATAAAAATAATTAAATTTTTTAAGTAATAAAAATATATTTTATTTTTTATTTTATAAATTTGAATTTTTAAAAAAATTATATTAATTTTTTCATTTTTATATGTAAAATAAAATTATATTTTGAAATATCATTTGTCTCTCAATTAAATTTAGAATAAAACAATATAAATTAGTTGTTTTTTTCATTCTATTTTGTCTCCATTTATTTAATTTTTTAAAATATAATATAAATTTCTTCTAATTTTTATAATTATTAAAATTAAAAAAAAAAATTATTAAATTTATAAATATTAAAAATTAATTACTTATTAAATATATTCTGTTAAGTTATTATTTTTATAATAAATTTATCAAAACGTTTTTATCATTATTATTGTTAAATTTAGAAATTCTTTTATTTATAATATTTATAATTTAGTGTTTTTGCAAAAAGTTTAGCTAATTTTTTTAAATTTTTTAACGATAATCTTATAATTTAAATTCCTCAATAACTTTATTTAGCTAGCAAATAAAAGTTAACTTTATTATAGAATTAATAGTAAAAGATTTTTGAATTTATTATAAAATTTTAAACCCTAACATTTTTAATTACTTTTTTTATATTTACATTTTAATTTATAATTTTTGTTATTTATCCATAAATTTCATACTGGCCAATTAATACGTGTTATGGTACATATGCCTTTTTTATTGGCTATTAGTAGCTATGATTACAATTTTTTTTAATTAAAAATTTAAAAGATTTAAATTCTAGAAAATTCAAATATTTTTATTTAAATTGAAAATTTTATTGATTTTTATTTAGGAAAAAAATTTTCTTCGCATTTCCTTATTTGACACTTAAATACTTTATAAAAATTTTTTATGAATTATAAATTTATAAAAAGTAACACATTCATTTTTTTTTTTAATTCTTTTTGTAAACGTCCTTATAATTTTATACTTTATAATTAATTTTTTCTAATCAAAATTTTTTTATGATTTATTAATTTTATAAAAATTAAAAAGTTAAAGTTTTAAAAAAAAAATTATTTTTTTTTTAAAAAGTTAAAGTTCATAACATTTTTTTCTTTTATAAAGTTTTTTATAGTTATAAATTTCATAAAAAGTAATTAGTTAAACTTTTTAATTATTATTTTTATAAACGTCTTAAATTTTAAAAAGTTTATAATTATTATTTTCTTGTATAAATTTTTTTTATTAATTATAAAAAGAAGTTCAAAATTTTTAATAATTATTTTTATAAATGTCTCAATATTTAATAAAGTTTATAATTATTATTTTCTTTAATTTTTAAATTTTTTAAAGTTTGATGTTTAACATTTTATTATTTACTTTTTTTTCTATTTGAATTTTTATTTCTTTTTATAAAATTTTTATTAGTTTTGTGAAAATCTTAAGAACTTCCTAAAAGTTTTTTATTATTTATTATAAATTTTTTTTTCAAAGTTTAGAATTAACTATTTTTTTTATTTATTTTTTGTCGAACTTTCGTAAATTCAAATTTCTTTCTAAAAAACTTTCGAAAATTTTTGTAAAGTTTTCATAATTATTATTTTTTAATTTTTTTAGATGTTTTGAGTTTAAATTACAGGTTGGTATTTTTTCTCTTCAAATAATTTTTTATTATTTAAAGGATTTCATTAAAGCAGTAACTGATAACGAATTGGTTCAACAGATCCCTGGAAAAGTATATTTTATTATGCGAAATTTATTCGTTATTTTCTAATTTAACTTTAACCATTTTAAATTTTTTTAGGTTAAAGTTTCTGCAGCGCAAATTAGTAATCCGTCTTTGAAAAAGCAATTAAAGCAAAATAAGAAAGTTGAAATTTTATTATAAAACAATAAAAATAATTTTTTCATGAAATATTAACTAAATTTATTATTTACAAAGAATTTTTTAGTTTTTAAATAAAAAATAATGAAATCAATTAATTCTTAAAAAACTGTTACAAGGTTAGTTTTAATGTTTTCTATACTAATAATAATGAGTTTTTTATTTTTCTTTGAAATAGCAAGGGAAGTAAAATAGGAAATTCGTGACTATAATTAAACAATAAAATTTTTAAAAAATAAACTTAAATTTTCTAGCTCTTTTTAAAGAATTTTTATAATTAAAAATAAACTTGTTGGTCATGCAAAAAGTTAAACTAATATTTTTCGCACGCTTTCAACTTTTATTTAATAAAAGGGATTAAAGAAAAGTTATGAAACCTCATGTTATTTCTGAAAAATTTTTTTCATTACGAAGTAAACTTAAATTTATTTTTATCTATCACACTTTAACTAAAAACGATTTATAATTATAAAAGCTCTCGAAGCAAAATTGAAGTTAAACTTTTTTAAAAATTGAAAATAATTTAACTTCTTTTTCTAGTTTTCAACCTCTCAAATATTTTATTATAAGCAAAAAGCCTGCTAATTATTCAAAAATATCTGCGCAAATTGCTCGCTTTAAGTTTTAATTATAATATATAACATAAAGATCTTTTTTTAAAAATAAAATTGGCCAAGCCGAAAAAAACACCTGTATATGCTTGAATGTTTTAGATGAAATCTTTAAATAACAAAACTTTTTTATAAAGGCTCGTAAAAAAATTCCTCGATTTTTATTAGCAGAGAACCTAACCGTTTCATAACTTCGGAGAGCAGCGCATATATATTAGAATATGAAAACTAGATATCACTAGTCTATTTTATAGTCCCTACCTTTACCCCAAAGTCATTTGATTTTGGGGAATGTTCACGAACATCAAAGGTTGCTGGTTACTATGTTTACCACTTGTCGCCTAGGTTCAATTTAGTGAATTGGCAAAAAAAAACCATATCTACCTGAAGCCCCAGATTTCTGCCCGTTAAAGGGTTAAATTAGTTCCCGCTTTCTGAGGTTAAAGGAAAAAAAGGCTGTAAGTATATAAGGGGTTCAAAAAACCCCTCATACACATTTTCATTCTGCTCGCTAGTGAACTGCCGCTGAAATCCACTGAAGAAGCTCGAACGACAGGAAGGACTGAAAATTGGATACTTTTTTCACTAATCATCCATTAAGTTCTGTGTTCCTTTGGAATTGTTTTAGTAAGATTACATCGTACTTTTTTTAATTTTTATAAATCTTTTTATTATCTTTATTCCTTCATTTAAGTTTAAAAATATTACAAGCTACAAAAATACTTCTAAGAATGCATTCACACTGTCATGTATATAAAGTCAAGTTAAAATTAAACACACAAAACTTAATTCAGAATATTAATTTCAAAGGGAATAAGACGAACTTTCTTTTTAGATTTTTATTAGTTTTTTTTTTAACCTTAAATAACATAACGCGGCCTTCTTTTTATTTCCAAAAATACAATAAAGAAGAGGTGTGTACAAAATTTATAAGCAATGTAGAGTAAATTTTAGTGTAAAAATATTATTAAGTTAAAACTACTAGAATTAGACTATTATTCTAACTCTTTTTTTGTTAATAATAAAAAATTAATTATTTTGAACATACGCATCAGATTATTATTTTAAACACAACCAATTTTGCTTTTCTTTAAGTTTTTAAAGAAAAACCATACAAAAAGTTTTGACTATTATTTATCATTCTTGATAGCGCCAGTCTTTTTATTTTTCTTATTAATTACATTTTTAATTATGAAGTTATTGTTTATTTTCAATAAAGAATTATTCTATATTTATTTTATATATTATAAATTTTATATATACAAAAGGAAATTAAAAAAAAAAAAACCAAAAAAGGTTATATTTATATAAAATAAATTTCAATTGTTTTTCAAAAGTATAAAAATAAAATAAGAAACCTACCAAATGCAAAGGATATACAGTAAATTATTGAGTAACAACCTACCAATATATAAAGAGATAAATATGATACTTTATTATAAAAGTAATATACATATATTACTTTTCTAAACAACTTATTTTTATTAATAATTAATTTTTATAAAAGTATTCATATATCTATTAAATTTCTTTAATTAAAACATTTTTAATAGTAAAACTTAATTATTCTTTGTTCTATTAACTTAAAATTTTTAGCCTTTTTTGTTGACAGAAATTTTTTTTTAATTTTAAAAATATAAACAGCAAATTGAAAAATTTATATATTTTTGGGTAATAAAAATTTTTTTATGCCTTTTATAATTTACATAACATAATCAGTTGTAAGATGTTTATTTTAAGAAATTTAATTTTATATATTTTTAAAATTCTCCGTGATTTTTTTTTTACTTATATATATTAACTTTATTAATATTTAAAAAATATTAATTATTGTAGTTTTCTCAATTATTTTTTTCTATAATTATTTTTATAACAAAATATTGTAATCTTTTTGAAAGTATTAATTAATATTTTATATTGTTATGAGAAACTGCTATAATTATATACAAAAAATAAAGATATTTTAAAATTAATAATTGAATTTAGTTAATTTTATTTCTATAATAAAAGAAATCTAAAATCCTTCCACGACAGGCTCGTCAGAACCAGAAAGTCTTTGCATTTTGGATTTCAGTTTAAACGTTAAACTAAATACAATCTTGAAAATGGCATCACAATTAATATTTAATTTAGATGAGCAAAAAATAAGCGGAGCGCCTCCCATCGCTTTAGCAAATTTCCGCGCCTTTAAAAATTTGATTAAGTAAATTTGTAAAAAAAACTTAAAACAAATGAAAATCAGATATAGAGATTGTAAAGTAAGAAATCTAAAATAGTTATTATAAAATTTAAACTGCTAATATATATTTTTCTTTAAATAAACCTGGAATTCATAAAATTTTTATTAATAAAATAAACAATTAAAATATAAAATTTATAATATTAAAATATTATTATATAAATTATTAAAATTAGAATTTAGTATTTAAAAGAAATTAAGTTATGCAATAACAAATTAGTTTAATTTTTTTTTTTCTCTTAGTTAAAAACTATAAGTATAATAAGAACTTATAAGTTTAAAATTTACAAAAGTCGAGGAAATAAAAATTTCCAATAACTATTTTAAATACTAGCGCAAAACTTAAAATAATTTAAAAATTATAATTTGAATTATAATTTATAAATATTAAAATAATAAGTTTTTTGAAAAAAAGAATCAATAAAATAATTATAAAACTTGCAAGAAAGTATATAATTCGACCTTCAATATAAATTTATAAATTAGAAATAAAATTTATAAAATCCAAAAAAAAAATTAATAAATATAAAAAACTTTAGTTACTGACTTTTTTAATAAAACTATTAAGTAAAAAAATAATTTATACTTTTAAAAAACTTTTTTATTTATTAATAAAATTATTAGCAAAGAACTTCAAATATTTGACTTCTAAAAAAAATTAACAAAATAGAATTAGAATTTTAAAAAGGACTTATAAAGAAAAATTATAAAAACTTTTTAAGGAATATTAAAATTTTTAGAAAACAACTTTAAAATGTTATAAGTTTTATAAAATAATATAAAATTTTTTAAAAATTATATAAAAACTTCTTAACTTTTTATTAAAATTATTATCGAAAATCTTGATAAATTTTGATTTTTAAAGAAATAAATTAGAAATTCAAAAAATATATATATATAAAAACTTGTTTTAAATAACTAAAATTATTAGCGAAAAACTTTAAAAATTATAAAAAATTAAAAATTCTGAAAAAATGTATAAAATTTTTTTAATAAATATTGAAATTTAGCAACAAAAAAAGAGGAATTCGATAATATATATATATATAATATACGCATTTTGAGCGTCTTAATTATTATAGTTAGAGACATTAAATTACAAGTGTCAAAATTTTGATAATATTTATTATTAATTATTTGAATTTGCTTATTTTATTGAGTCAATTTTATCTAAATAACTTTAGTATTGCGCGGCTCATTTATTCTTTATAAGGACACTTTTTTAAAATTGCAAAAAATGCAAAAATGCAAATATGAAAAAATTAATAGTAGTGTTATCTCATTTTTCTTGAAAAGGACACTAATTACTTCTTGAAAATATTAAAAATTTTATTAAAAACTTAAATATTTGGACTTCTATTAAAAAAAATAGAAATTCTAAAAAATATATAAAAACTTGTTAATTATTATTAAAATTATTAGCGAAAAAATTAAAATAGTTTAACTTTTAATAAAAAGATAAAAAAGTTCGATATAAAAACTTATTAAGAATTACTAAAGCTATCAGTGTAAAACTTCAATATTTTGATTTTAATAAAAAAAATTAGAAATTTGAAAAAGATATAAAATTTTTCAAACTTATTAAAATTAATAACGAAAAACTTTTAATATCTTGACTTTTATTAAATAAATAAAAATTTTCGAGAGGAAAACTTTTTATGAAATTTACAAATTTAGCAAAAAATATATAATACTTTTTTAAAACTATTAAAATTATTAATGAGAAAAATTTTAATATTTTGACTTTTATTAAATTATTAAAAAAAAAAAAAAAGAAATTCTAAATAAAAAATTAAATATAATAAACTCCGTGCAGCGTTTCCACGCGAGTTTCCTCGTCGAGTCCAGCAAACAAATCATATTTAGTGCCCACTAATAGCGGAAAAAAGTTCTTTTCATATAAAAATATAAAAATAAGTAATAATAATAAAATTTTATAATATTTTTGATTATTAAATAAGTAACTAAAATAATATTTCATATTATATATTATTAAAAGGGAAACTAAAATATTACCTTGTATTATACACATAAGAAATATTATATGTTATGAATATTATTAAAAAAACTGTAATACATTTTGTTATATATTATTTATAAATAAACTGAAATAATATTTTGAATATTATTAAAAAAGAAACTAAATATTTAAATTTTGCATTATTTTTTTTAAAATAATTGAAATAATAATATTTTGTATTACGTATATTAAAGAGATTTTGCATATTTTAAAAAAATTGACTAATAATATTTTTTATTATGTATCTTATTTAAAAAATTCTACATTAATAAATGTATATTATGAAATAACATTTTCTAAATTGTATATTATTATTAAAAGAACTTGAAATAATAATATATTAAATATTTTATAATTAATAAGAAACTGAAATTATAATAAAATTTGATATTGTATATTATCATAAAAAAACTGAAATTATATTATTAAATATTGCACATTACTTATAAAGAAACTGAAATAATATTTTTTAAATATGGTATATTAATTAAAGATAACAATATTGCATTTTATTTGTGAATAAAATATTAATAATAACTTTTAGATGCTAAATATTATTTTAAAATAAACGAATTCTATTTTATAGAAAAATAAATGATAATTTACGTACTGCTTTTTAAAATAAAAAAAGAAGAATATAAATTCATATTAGTAAAAGGAATAATAAATATGCAATTAGAAATAACAAATAATATATCATTATTAATAATAATAAACTTTAATAGAAATAATTTAGAACGAATCAGATTTATATATAACATTTTTTCTTGAAATTATAACAGAAATAGAAGAGAATTTATTGAAATTATTAACCAATAAGAATTATATATTTTAAAAGAAAAATTTCATTATAAATTTCAATAAGAAATTGTTTAAGAAAAATGTTTTTAAAAATATTTTTAATAACTTTTTATAAATTAATATATTAAATCTGATCATAAGAAAAGTATTCTTAAAAGTCCTTTAAAAGTTAAAATAAAATTATAATATTTTTTTATTTTTAAAATTATAGAATTTCTTTTAAAAAAATATATAATTTTTTATTACTTAAAAAAAAAAGTTTTATAAAAATATAAAAAAATAAAATAATAAACAATAATAGAAATCAATGAAACGAAGTAGATTTATACTTATTTTTGTATTTGCTTATGAACGCTATTATTTTGAAATATTTTTAAGGTTCTTTTTACGATTACCATTATTATTATAATTATTATATATTATTTTTTCAGATTATTATTTCTTAAAAAAAAAAAGTATACATAAAATTAGAACATAATTTTTTAAAAAAAACGTAAAGAGAATATATGAATTCAAAAAACTTAATATTTATAAACACTTTGACTATAAATATTACTTGAACTCCTATTTATAAAAAAAGTTTTTAAAAAAAGCGTAAAATAAATAAAAAAGTTTCCATTTATTTCAAAAAATATATATAAATTTTATTAGTTAATATATTATCTTTATAAAAAAAATTACTTTAAAAGTTTGTAATTACTAATAAAAGTAAATCACAAAAACTTATAATAATATTATTAATAATAAAATAATAAAATTCTAAAAATTTATAAAAAAGAAGAAAAAATTTTTTTAAAGTTTTTGTTACAAAAAGTATATAAAATTTATGTATAACTTTTTTTTATGTTACCAGTTTTATTTAAAAATATAATTATAAAAGTTTTATTAATATTAAATATATTTATACTTGAAAATTCAGAAATTTATTTTATATATATATAAAGGTAGACACCAAATAAACTTTAATTATTAACTTTATGAAAAGTTAATATTTTTTAATATATTTCTTTTTTTTTTTTTAAAATTGATAAACAAATAAAAATAAGGAAAAATTTATATAAAATTAAAAGAGCGTATAGAAAAAAGCAATGCAACTTTTTTTTAAAAGGTTTATTATAAAAGCGTGTAGAAGTTAATAAAAAAAAGCACAGAAGATTTTTTTGAGTTTCCATATAAAAATAAAAATTAAAATTAAGGAATTATTTCTTTTAAAGAAATTTCATAATAAATATTTTTTTTATTCAAAAGTTATATAACTTTTCGATGAAAAAAGTAAATATAGTTTATAACATATTTTAAATAAAAATAAATAGATCAATTTTTTATATAAATATAAAATATATTATTTATATAATTACTTTTAAGAATACTCAGAATAAGTTTTTTATAAAACTTTACTAAAAAAGTAAAATAAAAGTTTATATATATAAATTTTGATTATTTTTATAAAATTTAATAAATATTTTTTAGGTTGTTTGCATTGAAAAAAATATATAAATAATTATAACTATAAATAAATTTTTATAAAAAAATTTAAATATAAAGAAGTCTTACTCTAAAAAATCAATGACGTCTAAAAAATTTTATAAATATATATTTTTTAATAACTACACTTTTTTATAAAAAAAGTTTTATAAAACAAATTTATAGAACTGAAAGGAAAACTTTTTATAAAAAGTTTAAATATATAAAGTTTTACTATAAAAAAAATTTATTTGCTTTTTAAATATTTATTAAATATTTTTTTTATTCGAACTTTCCTTATAATAATTTAAATAAACAGTTAAAACTAAAATAAAACTTTTCATTATAACTTTAAAAATTTTTACTATAAAAACTTAATTTATTGGCTTTAATAAATAAATATATTTTTTTAATTAGCAATTTCTGTAAATAAGTTTATAATTAATAAATATAAACTAAAAAAAAAAATTTATAAAAAGTTTCAATAAAAAAAGTTTTACCTTGAAAAATTACAAAAAATTGTATTATTTTTAGGAGTATTATTATAATATATTTTTTGTAAAATTCCCTATTTTTATATAGAATTTATATAAATAATAAATAAAAAAAATTTATAAAAAAAAGTTTAAATATACATTTACTCTAAAGACAAAAATTTATTCACGTTTAAGAAATTTTTAAAAAATATTTTTTTTTAAAATTTTGTATACTTATAAATAAAAAATATCACGAACTAAAAATAACTTTTTATAAAAAGTTTATATTAAAAAAGTTTTACTAAAAAGCTAAAAGGAAAAATTAATTGCTTTAAAGAAAAATAATAAAAATTTATTCGGTTTAGTATATTTGCACGTTATATAAAAAAAATTTTAATTAATAAATTTATAAACTACAATGAAAACTTTTATAGAAAGTTTAAATATGAAAAAGTTTTACACTAAAAATTTATTTGTTTATAAAAAAAATTTTTTAGTATTTGCACTTTTTATAAAAAATTTATATCTAATAAATATTAGAACTAAAAAACTTTTAAATTTATCAATAAATAAATGAAAACTAAAAAAACATATTCATAAAAAGTTTCAACATAACAGAGTTTTACTATAAATACTAAAAAAGACAATTTTTATTCACACTTTCTTAAACAATCATGTGTAATACATATTATAAACTAAAAAGAGAACTATCTTATAAAAAGTTTAAATATGAAAGTTTTACTATAAAAACTACAAAAAAATTAATTGCTTCTAAGAAAAATTATAAAATTTTTTTCTTTAATATTCGCATTTTTATATAAAAATTTGTAAATAAATAATTGAAAATAAATAAAAATTTTAAGAAAAAAAAGTTTTACTATAAAAACTAAAAAAAAAATATTTCTATAAATGTTTAATTATAAATATATTTGAAAACTTTATTCAATATATAAGTAATTATAAAAACTCCAAATGATTTACTTAGTACTTTTTTTACACTTAAAAAAAATTCAAATATTTATAAATTAAAAAAAAAAACATTTTAAAATATTATATAAAAAAGTTATCTTATGTAAAATAAAAATAAAATTTATGAGTTTTATATAATAATCATTATTTTAATTTATAAATATTTTTTTAAAAGTTTAAATTTAAAAAATATTCAGTAAAAATAAAAAAAAAATTATGTTAAAGAAATTTCACTATTTTTATATATTTCTATTATTTTTTTAATTTTTTAAAAGTAATTATAAGCCATAAATATGAAAACTAAAATAATAAAATTTTATTGACAAAAAATTTTTTCTTTAAAACTCAAAATACTTCAAAAATGCTTTTAAAAAATTTTTATTCGTAATTTTAATTTTTACTTTTAAGTATTTCTTAAAATTTTATATAAAAAGATATCATATTTTACTAAAAATTTTTATTTTTTTATTTTTTTCTTAAATAATATATGTAAACAAGATATATAATAAACTAAAAATCAAATATTTTTAAAAAATTTTACTTACAAAAAAAAAATTTCTCTCAAATGCAAATTAATTCAAAACGCTATTAAAAAATTTCGAAAAGTTAACTTTTATTTATAAAAAAAATTTTAATACTTTCAAAAAATTTCACTATAATATAGTGTCGTTTTCCTTTTTTTTAAAAATATTTATAAACAATAAATATTACTAATATAAACTAAAATAAAATTTTTTTGTAGTTTACATTTAAAAAAAACGTTTTATTATATATTTTATAAAATTTTAATAACTTTTTAAAGATTTCATAAAAAATTATATATTTTTTTTATTTATTGCACGTTTCACGAATACTTATAAATAAATATTATAACGAAAAAATAAATCTTACTATTATCAAACCTTTTGAAGTTTAGTAGAATTTTTATACCATTCGCGTATACTGGCAAGTGTTGCTATAAAATAATAACCAAAAATTATTAATAATTAAATAATATTAAAAAAATCTTTGCTAATATTAATGATATATAATGAGTTAGAGTAACGAAAATAATAATGAAAGTTTATTAATAATGAAATAATATTAAAAAGCGTTTTTCTTAAAATTTATAATATATAAATTTTCTATATTAATAATAAAAGTAATAACGAATATTTATTAATAATGAAAAAGAAGCGTTACTATTAATGATATTAATAATATATAAATTTTATATTAATTATCAAAATTATAACGAAAAATATAATTAATAACATAATATTAAAAAATGCGTTCCTATTAATAATATTAGTAATTAATTAATTTTCTATAATATTAAAAATAATAATGAAACGTTATTAAAAATTAAATAACAGCAAAAGAAGCGTTGCTATTAATAACATTTATATATAACAATAAAAGTTTATAAATAATACAATAATATCAAAAAAAGTGTTGCTATTAATAATAGAATAATACATATTTTTATGTTAATATTAAAAATTATAACGAAAATTTATTAATAATTTTTAAATAACATTTTTGTAAAGTTTAATATTTTATATAAAAATAAAAATAAATAATTATTATAATACTAAAAGTTATATAAAATAATTCAATCAATCATAAAAAAAATAATTTTTTAATAGTAAAAAAATTTAAAAGTAATAATATATTAAGTTTGATTTATTTTTATTTAAAACAATAAATTAGTAATAAATATATTTAAAGAATTATTAATAATATAGTTTCTTAATAGTAGAATTAGATTACTTATCACAAAAATAAATCGTTGGTAATATTTAAAGTTTAATATATTTTTTATTATGAAAATTAAATTACGAATGAAATAATACAATCAATATTACTAAAGATATTATCAATATAGTAAAATATAATATTAATAATAAAAATAAATGTTTATTAATATACTAAGTTTGATATATTTTGTACTAATACATTTAGTATTAATAATAATAATTTTTTAATAGTAAAAATAATTTAATAAAAATATTTTGTTTAATATATTTATTATTAAAGAAAAAGTATAAATACATGTAATAAAAGTGAAAATAAATAATACAATTAGTTATTATAATTAAAATAATTTTTTAATAGTAAATATTAATCATTAATATTTTTAGTTTTATAATATTTTTTTAAAAAAAAAATTAATAAATATAATAAAAGTAACAATAAACAATACAACCAGTAATATAAAAATTATTTTTTAATAGTAAAAAAATATATTAATAACAAATAAATTATCAATAATATTTTAAATTTAATATAATTTTATATAAAAATAAAAAAAATTGGTATAAACTAAGCCAATCAATAATAAAAAATAGTTTAGTAGTACTCATAAATATTAATAAATTTTTTTATTTTAAATATAAACTACTAATTACAATTATGAAAAAAGTTATACATTAATAAATTCATTATAATTATTAATAATAAATAAATAATTCATTGTAAATTTTAAAAATAAAAATGTGAAGCACAAATAGAAATAATAATTAAAGTTTTTTTGATTAGCTCAATCATTAATAATAATAATAATAATCTTAAAACAGAAATAATATTTACTTTTAATATTGTTTTAAATAATATTAATTTTTTACTATTATTATTATAAAAAGAATATTCTTATTTTTTTATTTAAGATTATATATTATAAATAAGTATCAATATTAAATATAGATTTAGAAAATTTATGTAAAGCGTAATAAAAAATCATACAGCTAATAAATAATAAATAAAATTAATAAACTTTTAAATAAAAAATTTATAACAAAAAAGTGTATAAAGTAAAGTAATATAATAATATATAAAAATTAGCAAATAGTTATAATTATTAATAATAGAACAGAATTCATACAAGAATTCTTATTTTTATATAATAATAGTTATTATATTAACTTATAAAGTATTTTATGTCTTAATAATATGAAAAGTAATATTTACTTATAATATAAAATTTTGGTAAAAAAGTTTTTTTTAACACTACAAGAAATATTATTTAAAGTAAAAATTTAATTAAATTAATAATAATTAAAATTAACGTAAATAAATTTTACTTTTCAAGCAATTTTAAAATTAATATTTTTAAAAAAAAAATCTTTTTGCTAATTTAAATTATTTTTATTTATTTTTATAAATTTTAAAGTTTTTTTAATTATTAAATAATTCTCATTATCAAATTTTTATAACAAATTAGACTAAAAGAAATTACCTCTTCGAGTTAAATCAAAAATAAATAAAACGGCAGTAGCTTCTTTTACCACGAGGCCAAGCATGTTGGAGAACTCACGATTTCCTATTTCATTTAATTGAAAAGTTGAATATATAAAAATAAAAAAAAAAACTTAAAAATTATTCCAAAAATTTAAAACGAAATTTTGTTTTTAAAATTTTTTTTCTTTTTTATTAATTATAAACCTTTATAAATTGTGAATTTATTTAAAAAATAAATTATACAAAAAATATTTATTTAAAAGATCTTGTCTTATAAATTCTAACAAAAATTTATATTTATTCGAAAAATTAGTATAAAAAATATTAAAATATTATTAGATTAAATATTAATTAAAGGCGAGTAAAGTTTTTAATTTATCAATTGAATAATTTTAAAATATTATTTTTGAAAAAGTTAAATAAAAAGTTGTTTTCTCGCAAAATTAGAAATTTATATTTTTTTAATTATGAAAATAAAATTTATTTTTTTTAAAATATTTATACAAATTTAAGTTAATTTATTAAACTTTTCAACTTCCTCTCATATTCTTATTTTATTACTTATGAAAATTAACTTCAAAATTTTTTATAAGTTATAAAATAATAATGAAACTATTACATAACACAAAAAAGATATTTTCAATAATTATTATTACTTTAATTTTTATATAACATTTAATTCTTAAATTTTCTGTATACATAGTATTTATTTTTACTTTATTATATAGCGTTTAAAAATGCTTTTCAGATACTTTAAAAAGATTACAAAGTAGTTATAAACAACTAAAGACACCTCCTAAATCCCAAATTGAAAAAGTTACAACAGTATTTCTAAATCGAATTTTCTTTTCCAGAAAATTTACACCTACAGAATTATAAAAACATTTAAGAAACCTTAAATTATTTATAATAATAAAAGATATTTTTTACCCATAGTTAAGTTATAGTCTTCATCAAACTGATTATTAACATATCGCTTCATAAGGCATGTCTTTCCTGTAGATCCATCTCCAACCATTCCTACTTTTACTGTGATGGTACTATTATTAATACTAATTATTTAGTTATTATTAAAAAATATATATTATTATTGTACAAACTTTTCACTTTTTTTTTCTTCCAAAACGTCCCTGGGAGACATATAGTATTAAGTAAAATTTGAATAAATATTTGCAATAGGGTGCAAACTTGGATAAATTTTTATACTTATAATATTATTTTCATAAAGAATGAAGTAAAGTTTATATAACTGATTAAAATAAAGATTTAAAGTAAAGCGAAATCTTTATAAATAAAACTAAATAACCAACGCAAGTTACTTACATCCACTTGGCTTTAGATAAATAGTAAGCCAAACCGCGCAGCTCTTTTTTTACTAACTTTTAAGTTCCCTATTTAATAATGGGATTCCTAATTTGTTTGCTTTTCTGTTGAGGTTTCCGGTCTCTATTTTTAATTTGTGCATCTCTTAAAAGTTAATAAGCCGTTTTTAAGTTCTTAACATTTATTACGTTATAAAGCGTTTAAAAAAATTATATTCCTTATAAATATTATTAGACAATGGTGGTATTTGTAATAAAGGTATAAAATATTTAAAAAATAAGTCACCTAAAGTGTTGGAGGTTACTACATATATGAAATATTAATGTTTGCAACATCCTGTACTCTGAAAAGGGTACTAGACAGTTAATCTTAGAAAATTACTAATTAAAGCTCGAGGTAGTGCAGTAGAACAAACACCGTAATAATAATAGTATCAGCTTGGATAAAATGTAAAAGTCGATCATTCAAAACATTAACCGGTTTAGTTGTAATTTAAAAGATTTATTTTATTAAAAACAAAACATGTTATAATACAGGAATTATAACTAACCTACTTACTGTAAGCAAGTTAATATAAATTTTACATAACAATTAAACTAATAAAGGTTTTCACCAGAACTAGCAAAAACTTCTCTTTGGGTAATCAGTTTTGCAACAGAACAACTTTTCTTAGAGTTGCTCTTTTGTAATTTTTAGGAAGTTGACATCGCAAATCAGTGCTTGCCTTAGGGAGAATTAAATGGACTGGTTAAAGCAAAAAAAAAGGATCTTACATGAATAAAAGAAACTATTCTCTAATACTTTTTGATAATATGCGCAAGATGCTGGAAAAATAACAGGTTGTACTAATAAGGAAAAGGCTTTTTTTATAGTATTATTAATCTAATCAAGAGTGGTAAAGTTGTTAAGCTAGACAAATTACAGACGCTTTTTGTATTAAATATTTTTTAGTCACTGCATATTAGCTTAACCATTTTTAAAAAAGTAAGAAAAAAGTGTACTTTTTAAGAAGAATAAAGACCGATCGATATGTATGCATTATTGACTATGTAGACCAGCTTTACTATAAATTACATTAAAAAGGTAAGAAACTGGGTGCCCTTTATTTATACTATATTGCAAATTTTATCTACCCATGAGCTTCCCTGTTTAATTGTTTTCTATTCTACCACATTTTTAACTAATAATTTTGCTTGCAGCTATATTTCCAACTTTAACACAGGTTTTTCGGGATAATCTATATTTGTGTTTATAAAAGTTTCTAAATCTCTTTAAAATATTTAGTAAAACTAGTTAACTTAGCATTTACTAAGTTGTTCTCTAGACTACTAAACTTTTTAATAAGTTCAGCTATTACCTTTAAAATATCGCTGGTCCTCTAGACCAACGTAAAAATAAAACACTTAAGTGACCGAGCGCCCATTGTTTTTACTAAAAAATATATATATATATACCATACATATTGTATTAATAGAGTATAAAAGGCACCTAATAAACAATATATAGTTACCCCCAATAATTCAAATTTTATATCCTTGTAGTAAGGTGATTAAATTCTAAACTTGTATTCCTCTATATGGTTTAAGTTATACAATATAGTTTTAATGAAACAAGCATTTTCTTTGGTGTTAAAATAATAATTTTTTAAAGCAATTTATTGTCTACGTAGTTATGATTAACTTACCTGCCTGAGTCAGGTGCAACATTGATATTTAAATTCTCTAAGAGCACAACAAAATATTATGCTCTTCGTCTTTCATTTAATTTTATGAATTCCGTGACTCCTTTATTAACGACCACACCACGTGTATACGCACCAGCGCATCAAGGTGTTTCCTCTTTATATACTGATAAAGTATAATAATTGGAAATTATAGTAGGAATAGTTAAAGATAAACATTGCCAATAATATAAATATAAATACTAATAATATTAAAGAATAAATAATTATTTATAAATAATAAGAAATAAAATTAACATGCCCAATGACATATGCTAAAAAAGGGCAGGGGTCTACCCTTAGATAAAAGGCTTGCGCCGGTCAGAGAGCTTCTAAATTCTTGCTGTATTCTTTAGTGATACGCGTCTTGCGTCTCTTTATGTGTTTTTTTCTGGATTTAACACTCTTGTTTTCTAAGTTTCTTTCTCAGTTTTATTGTCTAATCCCCTCTCTTTTCATATATTATTCTTGCATTTATAAATAAATGGTTTTTAATGATCTATTTTATACTTTTATTATTCTTTTATTTATTCAGTTGTAATATTGGCGTGCTTTATTATTTTCACAGAACCCTAGCGACTTTTATGGCTTAACAATCTAGCCGTTTATACACCTTTACAAAATGTTAGAAGCATTTTCATTTATGTATATAGTCGTTTCAAAATAATTCAAAATTCTTTAAATAAACGTTTAATTCAGTAGTACGCAGCTCCCACATCCCCCCCCCCACTCACAGAAGCGACCTACACAGTGGATTAAAAAAATTGAGGTAAAAATTTTGTCCCATTATTCGATTCGGATGAAATAGTGCGTCGAATATTTCTAGTCAAATAAAGTGGTATCCTAGTACAAAAATTTTGGCCTCCGTTGGTCGAAAAGGCGTTTTAGAGTTGATAATTACCATATTTGTTTGTAATAAATATTTGGTTTAATAATTGTATTTTTACCTATTTACATATGATTTAATGTACCTTTAAATAATAAATATGTTAGTAAAACGAAATGAAGTAATATATTAATCAAGTAGTAAGGAAGGGGTGCTTTAGGACTTGCGATCTTAATAGATGATTTTTCCGCACCCACAAGGTGGTCGACCGCTTGCTGGCAGGGTGGGGAATCCAACTCCACACTTGCAAATACGTTTTCACTATGCGTAGTTGAAAAAATATTAGGATGAATTTCCGAGGATCATAATATCCTAAAACTGCATAGAATAACCTTTTTATTTAGCCTTTTAAAAAGTATCGCTTCCAAATTTCTTTGCAAGTGAGAAGACGAACACTTATACGAGAATTGCGGAGACTATTGGAAGTATCAATTCTTGACATACCCTTTACCTTATTAAATAATAAAATTCGTATCATTTCATTACACACAGTTCATTAGTCATTATCTTTACAATAAGCTAATCATAAGTTTTACTTCCAGATAGTTGGTACTTTATATTTGTGTTAATATGGCTATTTCAGCTTACAAGAAATTCTAGAAGTTCGACTTTGCGAGTGAAGGACATTTGTAGTTTCGAAGGGAGAAGCGAAATATAAGTTTTCTACCTTTTATTTTGTTAATCTTCAGCAGGGGCTTAAAAGCATGACGGGGTAGTTATTTTACCTTGAAAGCAACAATCTCTCAATGAGGAATGCTAGATCGAATCTAGCTACTATCTTTCTTCTTTTCTCTTACTAATATCCATGACTTAATGTAAAATAATAGACTTCCAAGCTAGTTATATAGGTTCCAGTTCTATTGGATGCAAGATTGGCTCTAATTTAGTACGAAGGTGAGTGTATGTTTCATTGTTAATGGAAAGATGGAAGTTTGAGTCTTTCAATTAGTGGCTAAATTCTCTTCTAAATGGTTTTAGGGCTGCACTGCTAATGTAGTAGACTACTTATAAGTTCAATTCCTGAGGGTTTCTTAGCAACTAATAGCTCAACGACAGAACCTCTAGACTTTTAAGTAAGAGATAGAGGTCTGATTCCTCTTTAGTTCAGCAGGGTCGGAAATTTACTACCATGATTTGATATAACCTTTCTTGTGTCTTTCGTCCTACTCGAGTATGGCGAGCTAATTAGCATTTCTGGAGTGTTAGTTAGCTTCGTTTGCCTAATGTGGAGCATTTTACTGTAGCATTCTTGTGTAAGCAACCCCAACGACTTCATCAGCTTCTTTTGAGAGATTTCTTTCTCTCATGCGTGCTAATTTACTTACATTAACCTAGGCAGCTAAACAACGAGGAATGCTTAAATATAAAAAATTTTATTGGTTAATGTTATACCTGTGACTAAGCCTTCTAGCTGAATGACTTCTGCTGTTCTGAGTCTTTGACCGTCCCCCGGAGGTCAAGGTTGAGCTAACAACTCATTAGTGCTCTGCATCCACTTAATAAACAACTAAAGCGCAGTACTGGCTAAACTAAAGAATACATGTTTATAGTTTCATTATGACTTGGGCTTTCTCCTAGGTAAAAAAGATTCTTTTGACCCTTGGCGAGGCTTAGTGAGCTACAAATTTAGGTGGGATATCACTCTTGTAAGAGACAGGGAACGGCGACTTGGTAGGCATCGAAAAGAGTGCTTATTTCCTATAATCGATGCAACTTATTCTCTTTTTAGGTGTTGTAGTTGAACGTTGGTTTGACTTGTAAAATTCGGTACTGAAATATTACTGTTGACATCGCTTTAAATGCTTAGATATGTGTAAGTGACGGCCTGGGGTTGGCACTGAGGAGGTAGTCTCATCTCTCTTCTACTCGAGTTCACTTTAATACAATGCTTATACGGCTCTAGTAGGCAGAGTGTACACTAACCTCGAATTCCTTCTTCTCTTTCTAAGAGCGCGGGATCACTTATCTCGTTATTTTAAACCGTGCGTAATATGTTAATTACTAATTTGTAGTGCTACTGAGTAGAATAATAAATAACCTTGTTGAGACTTATCCTAAGCACCTTGAATTTTATTTACATCCTCTCTTAGACATAACTAAACTCTAAATTGATAATATAGCCTAGTTAATTCAGTGTTGTCACCGCTAACCGCTCCCTTATCGAGAAAGCTAGTTCAATCCTACCCAACCCTTAATAACACTTTTAACCTAC